TGTCTGCATGTATCTGATCCTGGGCTCTCTCCGACCTAACAGGTAAGTGTCATGTTGATGAGTGTGTCCCCAGCACCTAAGACCATCCAGGCACTTAGTAGGTGTTCAGAAATGTCTGTAGCCTGACTGAGTGGGTGTCTCCCAATTCATACTGAGGGAGTCGAGGCCCAGGGAGGCCTTGGTTCTGTGTGCGCTCCACCACCACTCGCCGGCCCTCCCCCAGCCGCTGGTAGTGCCTCATTAATTTCTCTTTTCCCCCCAGGCTTTTACACGTCGTTCTCCCTGTGATCTGGGAGCAGCTTTGCTCTTGACCCCCAATTCCCTTGTGGGGGTTCCCAGGACCCAGTGAGCAGAGGATGGGATCTGTCATGTGTGCAGACCCTCCTGGGCCTCTGCCTGCCCCCCTTTCTCCCCCCTCCCCCTCCTTCCCTCTCCTCCCCTGGAGCCACCACACACACTTGTTATCTGGAGGCTACCCTTCCCCCATCACTGCTGACAGTCCTGCTTCCCAGGAGCTCTGTCTGTCATCTGGTTCTCGGGAGCTGTCAGGCTCCATCCAGAATCTCTGTCAACTTCCCTGGGAACTGCCTGGCTGAGCACATCAGAGGGACAGGCAGGGTGGCCGCCCTTCCTGCTGGAGCCCACTCCTGCCTGAGCCTGCGCTTCACAGAGCAGAGGAGGGGCTGCCGTCACCCTAGGCGGGCCCTGCACCAAACTCCCTCCACACCCGAGCCCGCTGCTGCCCCATTTTACAGAGGAGGGGAGACTCCCAGGGCTCAGCCAGTGAAGCACGAGGCCTGGGTTTAAAACTAAGGCTCCGCCCTGGCCGTTGTGGCTCGGTTGGTTGGAGCATCGTCCTGTACACCGAAAGGTGGCAGGTTGATTCCCTGTCAGGGCGCATGCCCAGGTTGCTGGCTCACTCCCTGGTTGGGGCATGTGCAGGAGGCGGCTGACCCAGGTCTCTGTCTCTCCCTTCCTCTCTCTAAAGTAAAAAATACTGCAAGGCTCCAAGGCTGCTTTGATCACCATGCTCTGTTGACGGGAGCCCCGGGGGCTGGGCTGTGTCACCACAATCAGGTTGGAGACTCATGATGACAGGGCTGTGCCTCTCCTATCAGACTGGGACCCCTGGAGGAAGGCTTATGTCTCCTCCATTAGAAAGTGCCTATTTCTCCCATAAGATGGGAACTTCAAAGGGCAGGACAGGTGTATGTCTCCATCAGAGGCAGGGCCATGTGTCTCTCCTCAGCTTAGAAGCCCCTAAAGTCAGAGCCCTGCCTCCCCGTCACACTGGGTGCTTCCAGCGGGTAGGGCCATGTCTCCCCTGTCAGACAGAGCCTATTAAGGCATGCACGTATCCACCAGGTCTCTCCTTCAGACTGCGTTAAGGAAGGCATGACTGTGTCTAGGAGCTTCTGGGAGCAAAGCTTGTCTCCCCTGTCAGACTGGGAGCTCCTAAAGCAGGGCCACACCTCCTCCCTCAGATCAGCAGTGAGCCGTCCCTGCCTTGTCCCTTCGGTCCTGCTGCTTTGGCTCCCATCCCCACTCCAGACTTGATCCAGCAGGAACAGAGGGGCAGGCACAGCCCCAGCCAGGTCCCCCCCAGCTCCTTCCTGAGGTCCCATCCACTCTGAGCACATGGTGAGCACCTGCTCACTCCGTGCACCGACCATTACTCAGCCACGGAAAGGACTGAAGCACAGACACAGGCCACATGGGTGAGCCTTGAGCACGTGAGGCCCATGGAGGAGCCAGGTGTGTGGCCACACAGCGTGTGAGTCCATTTATGTGCCATGTCCAGGGCAGGCACACCCTCAGGAACAAAAAGTAGGTTCGTGGATGCCATGGAATAGAGATTTGGGGAGAATAAGGGGTTACTGCTAAATTTGGGGTGATAAAATGTTCAGGAGTTAGATAGTGGAAAGGGTTACGCCATCTTCTGAACATACTAAAATCCACGCAAGTATACACTTTAAACAGGTAAATTGTAGGGTATGTGGATTAGATCTTTTTTTTAAAATATATTTTATTGATTTTTTACAGAGAGGAAGGGAGAGAGATAGAGAGTTAGAAACATCGATGAGAGAGAAACATCAATCAGCCACCGCCTGCACATCTCCTACTGGGGATGTGCCCGCAACCCAAGTACATGCCCTTGACCGGCATCGAACCTAGGACCTTTCAGTCCGCAGGCCGACGCTCTATCCACTGAGCCAAACCGGTTTCGGCAATTATATCTTTTTAAAAAGTGCCCACTCGCCCTGGCCAGTGTGGCTCAGTTAGTTGGGGTTATCCGGTGCACCAAAGGGTTGCCCCTTAGATTCCTGGTCAGGGCACATACCCAGGCTATGGGCTCAATCCACTTTGGGGGAGGGGAGGAGGCAGCGGATTGATGTTGCTGCTCTCACATGGATGTTTCTCTCTATAAAAATCATTATTTAAAAATACAAAGTGCCCCAAACAGTGCCAGGCAATAAATGCTCAACAGAGGTGTGCTGTTACCTTCCCATAGAAAAGATGGGAGAACACTCCAAACCACTGCCCAAGGTCAGGCAGGCTGAGCCCCACCCGGGAGGAGCCCTATTGAACCGCCTGGGGGTGGCGCTGGGGGGAGGGAGGACACCAGACCACCCACCTTCTTGCCTCTGTCCTGTAGGGCCCCCTCCAAGCACCGCTCCGTGGCTCCCTGGTCTCCAATCAGAAAGCCAAACCCCAAGAGGTTGTGGCTTCACAGGTCATACCTCAAGGTCGCGGGAAGCCCAGCCCAGCTCTCCTGTCCCCCTCCTCCAGCTCCTCCCCGCCCCCTTCCCCGCTCCCTGCCTGGCGGTGGAGGGGCAGTCCCAGGAGAAGCCAGCTCAAAAGCGCAGGGAAGTCAAATGCCGTTTGATTCCGCCTGCGGGGCCTCTCATTGCTATTCCTGACACAAACTGTAATTAGAAGGCCCTTTCAAATATTTATACCTCAGACGCCGGTGTTTACTCACCAGGGTGAGGACTCGGATTTGATGAGATCTGTCATCAGCTCAGCCCTGAGCCGAGCCTGGAATTGCCTGGCGGCGGACAGAAAACAGGACAATTACCCGCTGTGCTCCCCAGCGGTCCCCAGGGATGCTGCCTGATCAGAGTGGGTATGTTGGGGTTGGGGGCTGAATGCATGTGCTTCCGGAGGGAGCACTGGGTTCAACAGGTTTGTGTTGGGTGACACAGCCAGAGCGAGGAGGACACAGGGAAGCAAGCCCCTGCTGCTGTTAGCGGCTTTGCCTTGTCAGCTGTGGACCTCAGTGTTCCCATCTGGAAAATGGGGCTAGCAGTGGAGGGGAGACGGAGAGCCACTGATTCCATGAAGAGACTCTAGTGGGTCTCTAATGCCACCCCAAGCCAGGCCATATCCTGGCGTCCAGGGAGAAATGAGCTGCAGGGTGGCTCTGAGCAAGTCCTGCTCCCTCCCCGTGCCTCAGTTTCCCCACCAGGAAAAAATGGCTCTCCCTCGGGCAGTCCTTCCTCTAGCTCTTTGGGGGTTTCCTATCAGAAGTCCCATATTTCAAGCCACGGAAGCAAAGTGAGGAAGCATAGACATAGCCCTAGCCCCACTGTTCTTCCCAGGGGCAGCGAATATGTAACCCGACGAACAATGGGTCCGGGCTGCCGGTCACTACTCAGTGAAGCAGAGACAAGGTTGAGTCATGGCCTCCTTTTTCTCTCCTTTTTACCCTCCCCTGAGCCCAACCAAGGGGCACACCTGACCCTCCTCCTCCCCCTCCTTCCTGGGGAATCTACTGAGCAAGGCACCTGGAAGAGGGCATGTGTGTCTCCCCTTTACAGTAGCCACAGAACTCTGCTCTGCACCCCACCATGAGCCAGTTGCTTATATAGTAAAAGTACAAAGGAGAAGTAGGCAAAAGGGCCATTCACAGATATGCAAAAGGACTAGGGGTCTTCAAAGGGCTTAGTGATATGCAGGGGCTGGGGCTACACGGGGAAATCCAAAAGGAGTGCCAGATGGGCAGTTAACAGGTACAGGCTGGAGGTCTGCAAAGGCCTGCAGGTTTGCAAAAGGGCTGGGGACCTTCAAAGGGCTGGCGATTCCGGTTTCTGCAGCAAAGTTGTTCATCTTTCCATGATTACAGGCAGCTCCGAATGGGGAGGAAGGGCGGCATCTCCGGGTCAGCTCCAGCCAGGGTGGAATGTGCCTTCTTTCATCAGAATAAAACAATCACGGTGAACAGCAGGATTAATGTCTCTCACAGTACTAGCTGGTTCCCCAAATTCTACTGCTGCCCCTTTCAATCGCCCTAGCCCCACTGCTCTTCCCAGGGGCAGCTCAGCACCGTCAGCTCTGACTTCGGGTCCTCCCTCCCCTCCACGCCATAGGCACCTGCCCAGCCTGGGGGGCTGGGAGAAGGAAATCTGGGATCCCACCCTCCCTGACCACCCTCTCTCACTCCAGTATTAGGGGACCGAGCAAGCCCTTATGGGGAACGAAGGCAAATGTGTTGGCTCTGGAAGTGGCCTCTCCCTCCCCGAAACCTCTAGTGTCCTCGCCCCCAGACACTGCAGCTGCCACCAGGCCGCGCAGAACCCCCCCCCCCCCATTTCTGTCTCCCTCCCGGCCCCCTCCCCAGAAGCCACAAAGGGACAGATGCTGAGGACACTCGCCAGGCAGATACCATCTCCCTTCCCCGGGCCAGCTGCCCAGCCCTCTCCCCATCCTGCCATTAGTGCCCCTGGGGAGTCCTGGGGGGGGGGGGGGGAGCCGATCCCCGGCGTTGCCTCCTCTCTCTTCCTCTGTGTCAGCCTCGCTGCGGTGACCCCTGCGACAATCCCCACCCCCCATCTCCGGGTCAGCTTCGCCGCCAGACCCTGGTCCAGTTTGAACGGCCAGTGGTGGTGGTCACTCTCACCCCCTCTGCTGGTCAGCCCGCCCTGTCTCGTGGTCAAGTCCAGCCCCCCTTTTCCCGGCCAGTTTCCACCGCCCTCTCCCCCAACCCGCCCGTGCGCCTCGCACTCCCCTGAAGGTCAGCGCCTGTCGGCTCCCGCCCGCCTCTGCCCTCCGGGTCCGCGTCCGGCTCCCGCGGCGCCGCGACTCCTGCCTCGCACCCCCTCCCTCCGTGGCCGCGGCTCCCCCCTCCCCAGAACGGAAGGTCTCCGGCACCTCGGAGGGGGACGCAGGAGGGGGAGGGAGGGGGCAGCCGCGGAGCGGGAGGCGGAGAACCCTTAGCCTGGCTGCCCCGACACGGCCCGCGGCTGGCAGGGACCAGAGCGCCCGCCTGCGCGCCCCTCCCCGGAGCCCCCCTCCCGGCCGCGCGCCGGCGGCGGTGAAGTCTCCGAAAACGCGAAGGGGCACTGCGGGGTTTATTTCCCTTTGTGCCGCGGGCGGGGCCGCATCGGGGCGGCGGGGCTGGCGGCCGGGGACGGGGGCTCCCGCGGAGCAGAGGCCAGCGCCGCAGAAGGCACACCGCGTCGGGGTCAAGGTCCCGGCGGCCCAACTTTGGGCGGGGCGCGCGCCCCGGGGGAGCCCGCCCGCTGCGCCGCGAACCCAGGCGTCCCGTCTGAGCGGGCTGGGGCGTCCGCAGGCGGCGCTTTCCTCGACCCCTGGACCCCGGGGAGGGATCCCGGCGCTTCCCGGGCGCCTGGTGGCCGAGGTGCTCGCGGGGACCTCGCCGCCCGCAGGAGCTCCACGCGTTCCCGCGGATGCCCCTCGCCTTGGCCGGACGACCTCGCGCTCGGCGTTCGGGGCCCTACGGAGCACCCCCTTCCCGCCGGCCTTCCAGAACCGGGCTCAGGTGGGCTTTGCGTCTCCGCCCCCTCCGTCTCCTTTTTCTCTCCTTTTCACCCTCTCCTGAGCCCAGCCAAGGGGCACACCTGACCCTCCTCCTCTCCCTCATCCCCTTCCCTCCTCCTCCCCCTCCTCCCCTTCCCTCCTCCTCCTCCCCCTCCTCCCCTTCCCTCCTCCTCCTCCCCCTCCTCCCCTTCCCTCCTCCTCCTCCCCCTCCTCCCCTTCCCTCCTCCTCCCCCTCCTCCCCTTCCCTCCTCCTCCTCCCCCTCCTCCCCTTCCCTCCTCCTCCTCCCCCTCCTCCCCTTCCCTCCTCCTCCTCCCCCTCCTCCCCTTCCCTTCTCCTCCTCTTCCTCTTCCCCTTCCCTCCTCCTCCTCCCCTCCTCCCCTCCCCTCCTCCTCCTCCCCCTCATCCCCTTCCCTCCTCCTCCTCCCCCTCCTCCCCTTCCCTCCTCCTCCCCCTCATCCCCTTCCCTCCTCCTCCCCCTTCTCCCCTTCCCTTCTCCTCCTCTTCCTCTTCCCCTTCCCTCCTCCTCCTCCCCCTCCTCCCCTTCCCTCCTCCTCCTCCTCATCCCCTTCCTTCCTCCTCCCCCTCCTTCCTTTCCTTTCTCCTCCTCCTCCCCTCCTCCCCTCCCCTCCTCCTCCTCCCCCCTTCCCTTCTCCTCCTCCCCCTCATCCCCTTCCCTCTTCCTCCTCCCCCCTCCTCCTCCTCCTCCTCCCCTTCCCTTCTCCTCCTCCTCCTCCCCTCCTCCCCTCCCCCCTCCTCCTCCTCCTTCTCCCCTTCCCTTCTCCTCCTCCTCCTCCCCCCTCCTCCCCTCCTCCCCCCTCCTCTTCCTCCCCTTCCCTTCTCCTCCTCCCCCTCATCCCCTTCCCTCTTCCTCCTCCTCCCCCTCCTCCCCTTCCCTTCTCCTCCTCCTCCTCCCCCTCCTCCCCTCCCCTCCTCCTCCTCCTTCTCCCCTTCCCTTCCCCTCCTCCTCCTCCCCCTCCTCCCCTCCCCTCCTACTCCTCCTCCTCCCCTTCCCTTCTCCTCCTCCCCCTCATCCCCTTCCCTCCTCCTCCTCCCCTTCCCTTCTCCTCCTCCCCCTCATCCCCTTCCCTCCTCTTCCTCCTCCTCCTTCTCCTCCCCTTCCCTTTTCCTCCTCCTTCTCCCCCTCCTCCCCCCTCCTCCCCTTCCCTCCTCCTCCTCCTCCTCCCCCTCCTCCCCCTCCTCCCCCTTCTCCGCCCCCCCCCCCCCCCCCCGGAATCTGCTGAGGAAGGCACCCAAAAGAGGGCATGTGTGTCTCCCCTTTACAGTAGCCAGGTGTTGGGGTGACGCGGGCCCAAATGGCCAAGTGGCTACGGGACTACCTGAGCTTTGGCGGTCGGAGGCCCCCTCCGCAGCCACCCACTCCCGACTACACGGAAAGCGACATCCTGCGGGCCTACCTGGAACAGAAGAATCTGGACTTCGAGGACCCTTATGAGGATGCGGACAGCCGCCTGGAGCCAGACCCTGCGGGCCCCAGGGACTCCAAGTACGATTCCCCCAAGCACCGGCTCATCAAGGTGGAGGCAGCCGACATGGCCGAGGTGGCCAGAGCCAAGGTCTTGCTGGGCAGTGCAGGGGCGGAGGTGCGTGGCTAAGGGTCGGAGCTGGGTGCCCTAAGAGACTGGGCGGGGAGGACCAGGCTGGGCCCTGGACTTGGGGAGCATGTTGAATGTGTGACTGCAGACACTCCCCAGTCCTTCAGCCGCTGGACAAAGTGTGATGCCTGTCCCCTTTCAGCGCACAGTGCTGGTCCACCCACCTCTCTGCCTGCCGGACATTGTCCTGCCCCTGACGTCCCTCTCCGGGCCCCTCCCCCAGCTCCTTCCTCTCGCAGCTGGAGGAAGCTTTCTAAAACAGACCTGAGCCATTCGCTCCCCTACGGGGCACTGAAACATCCTCACCACTACTCCCAGAACTGCCTGTTATCATTCCCATTTACCAGACCTGGAAACTGAGGTTCACAGAAAAGTAAAGAAGCAATTTGCCTGTGGTCACATGGTCTAACTCCAGACCTGCCTCCAATGCCCATGATTTTTTAGTATTTGTCTTTCTTTTTTTTTTTTTTTTTTTTTTTTTTTATATTTTATTGACTTTTTACAGAGAGCAAGGGAGAGGGATAGAGAGTTAGAAACATCGATGAGAGAGGAAACATCCATCAGCTGCCTCCTGCACGCCCCCTACTGGGGATGTGCCCGCAACCCAGGTACATGCCCTTGACCGGAATCGAACCCGGGACCCTTGAGTCCGCAGGTCGACGCTCTACCCACTGAGCCACACCGGCCAGGGCAGTATTTTTCTTTTTCTTTTTTTTAATATATATTTTAAATTGATTTCAGAGGAAGGGAGAGGGAAAGAGAGATAGAAACATCAATGATGAGAGAGAATCATTGATCTGCTGCCTGCTGCATGCCCCCTATTGGGGATCAAGCCCACAACCCCCGCGTGTGCCTTGAACAGGAATCCAACTGTGACCTCCTGGTTCATAGGTTGACCTTCAACCACTGACCCACGCCGGCTGGGCTATATTATTTTTCTTAGAGGATCACTGCAAACCCTCAGTGGAAACAGAGAAGGATTTGGGGAGGGTTAGGAGAGACTGTGTTGGGTTGATGGTACAGAGAAAGGGAGAAGGAGGCAGGGACTCAGACAACCTGGGATCAAAACCTGCCTCTTACCAGGTCTGTGACCCTGAGCAAGTTACTTACCCGCTCTGTGCCTTGGTTTCCTCATCTGTAAAATGGGGATAATGTGTCTATGGAATGTTGATATGACAAGTAAAAATATATGAAGCATTTAGAACAGTGCTGGCAGCTGATAAACTTTAAAATTATTGAAGCCCTAGTCAGTCTGGCTCAGTGGAGAGTGTTGGCTGGAGGACTGAAGAGTCTCGGGGTTAATTCTGGTCTCGGGCATGTATCTCAGTTGCAGGTTCAGGCACATGTGAGTGGGAGGCATCCAATGGATGAGTCTCTCACATCGATGTTTCTCTCTCTGTCTGTCCCCTTCCCTTCCACTCTAAAAGCAATGGACAAAAGCATCCTCCCGTGAGGATTAACAAAAAAAAAACTGCCCTAGCCGTGTTCAGACTAAAGGGTCCCAGGTTCGATTTCAGCCAAGGGCACGGCCCAGATTGCAGGCTAGATCCCCCCAGTAGGGGGCGTGCAGGAGGCAGCCAATTAATGATTCTCTCTCATCATTGATGTTTCTGTCTCTCTCCCTTCCTCTCTGAAATCAATGAAAATATATATTTAAAAAATGATTGAAAGAAGGAGGTGAGGGTGTCTATGTCGGGAAGGGTCCGAACTGCATGAAGAAAGGGCGTAGGGGAAGCTGGCATCTTTCTTGCAAACATTCCTGGGTGGTAGCGGAGACTCCCTCCTCCCCCCAGAAAAGAGAACTGCTGGAAGGGGATGTGTCAGAGGGCTCAGGGGGGGGCAGGGCGTAACCAGAGCCGCCTGGTCTCCCTTGCCTTCTCTCACCAGTCAGAAGTTGACACCGAGTACTCGGACCCCTTTGATGCCCAGCCTCATCCGCCACCCCCAGATGATGGCTACATGGAACCCTATGATGCCCAGCGGGTCGTGAGTGGTGAGTGAGCAGGGCTTGGGGGAGGATGACCGGGTCCCAGGTGGGAGTGGGATCTAACCAGTGTCCTTGGCCTCCCAGAACTGCCTTGTAGGGCAGTGCAGCTGTATGACACTCCCTATGAGGAGCAGGATGGGGAGCCAGGAGACAGGCTTTTTTCAGGGCAAAGGCCTGGACAGAGCCGGCAGCCCCAGGAAGATGAAAGGCCAGCGGATGAGTATGATCAGCCCTGGGAGTGGAAGAAAGACCACATCTCCAAGGCATTTGCAGGTGCTTGAGTCCCTCTATTTTCTACTCTGGTCACATCCCCTGTTTCAACTTACAAAGTAGACGCCAGTTATCTGGCACTTCAGTGGTTTGTTAATTCTCACTAAAGTGTGAATGACTAATAGCCATAAATTTCTCTTCCCAGAAGAAACTATCTTCCTTGGAAACGGAAACACCTTGTAGAGTGCAATAGGACCTACTTATTCTGCTCAGTATAGTGAAGGGGAAGGCTTTGACCTGGGTTTGTGTCACTTACTTGGGCAAATCATTTTATCTCTCTGAATCTGTTTCTTTCCCTGTAAAATGGGGATCATCATGGTATCTACCGAATAGGGTGCTTGGAAATTGAGTGCTATAAAGTGCTCAATTACATAGGAGTTGTTGGGGGAGAAAGTAGCATTTCTTAGTAGCTGTCATCAGGTAGACTTGGGTAAGCTTGGACAAGCCTCTGAATCTCAGTTTCCTCTTCTATAAAAGGAGTAACAATAAGGTCAGCTTTAAGAAATAAAATAGCCCTCGCTGGTTTGGCTCAGTGGATAGAGTCAGCCTGTGGACTGAAGGGTCCCAGGTTCGATTCCGGTCAAGGGCACATGCCTGGGTTGTGGGCTTGATCCCTAGTCGGGCATATGCAGGAGGCAGCCAATCAATGATTATCTCTCATCATTGATGTTTCTCTCTCTCTCTCTTTCCCTCTCCCTTCCTCTCTGAAATTAATAAAGATATATTTTAAAAAAAATAAATAAATAAAATAACTTGGACCAGGAAGAGATGTGAGAACCCAACTTTGCCCCATATGTTGTATGACTGGGAGGGGAATTTGAGCTCAGGGCCTCAGTTTACTTGTCTATATAGTGGGGAGCTGTTACCTAGTTCTGTGATTTGCTGGGAATGGGACAGAACTTCCAACCCCCCTTTTAGCTACGCCCCTGCTCTCTGATTTGTCACTCATGAAGCTGCCCCGCCCTTCTATGCCACCACACTTGCGGATGACCACACCCTTCTGAAAGTCAATTGGTTGTTCCTTTACCAATTCGGCCCCAGCGCCTCCTCTTCTGATTCCATTGGTACCGCCTTCCTACTGAAATTCCATTGGCGGGCCCCCCTTCCTCCCAGGCAGGTTGGACTTAACTTTGCTCTCCAACCCTCCCCCCCCTTCAGTGCAGTTTGACAGTCCCGAGTGGGAAAGGACCCCAGGCTCGGCCAAGGAGCTCCGGAAACCCCCACCCAGAAGCCCCCATCTCGCAGAGCGTGTGGACCCTGCCCTGCCCCTGGAGAAACAGCCGTGAGTGGGGAAACTGAAGATGGAAGGCCTGGGTCGCATCCCTCCTGGCCCCATACGGCTACAGATCCACCGGACTAGGGGAGCTGGTTCATTCATTCATTTCATTCATTTCTTCAACTACTCTTCCTTGGGCGCCAGCGCCTGCTGTGTGCCAGACCATCTAGCTAGGACCTAGCTGCTAGGTGCAAAGCAGAATCAGATGGAGTCTCCGCTCCCTCTGGCATCAGACGCTGGGTTCGAATCCCTGCTCTGTGTCTCCTGGCGACAGGACCTGAGCCTGTGAATTACCTGAGCCTTAAGCTGAAAACCCCTAAGGTGGTGCCTGGCTCAACCAGAGTAAAGGGGGATTTCCTCCCTCCACTTGGGTGGGGCTCATAAGCCTGGGAACTAAGAGCCAGAAAGATTCTCACCCCCAGGACAGGCCTGGGGTAAAACTGGGAAGAACAGGATTGTGAAGAGGCGCAGGCTGGGAGGGTGAGGGTCTTTTCTGTGTCCCTGCAGCCTGGGAGCCCTGAGGGACTCCCTAAGCCCCCACCCAGGTCCGAGCCCCAGCGGGCTGTGTTCATCACAGTCATTCCCAAACCTTTCAGGTGGGCGATACCAGCCTGGCTACTTAACACTGAAGCACAGGTGAAACGTTTATTCTCTTCAGTTTTCTTTCAATACAAACAACCGCGCAGTCCCTGATGCTCATCCCTCTCCGACACCTTGCTTGCAGCTGCTGCCTCTCTGTGGGCACGTTAAAGAAAAATGCTAAGTAAAGAGCGGTCCAGGCGGGTGGGGATACAGGATGGAGCACCGGGGAGGCTAAGGTCAAGGTCAGGTGGAACTGTATGCTCCACACTGGCCTGGGCTCGGCTGCCTCCCCGGGAAACAGGCTCCTCTTGAGAAACCCAAGGGAATTTTTCTCTTCGTTGCCTGGAGGCCAGAAGCCCTTTATCCACTGTGCCTGCGCCAGACCCCTGGTGTGTTTGAAGGGGGGTGGCCTTTCCTGAGACATCTGCCCCCACACCAGGTGGTTTCACGGGCCTCTGAGCCGGGCAGACGCCGAGAACCTCCTCTTGCTCTGCAAGGAAGGCAGCTACCTGGTGCGGCTCAGCGAGACCAGCCCCCAAGACTGCTCCCTGTCCCTCAGGTGAGACCCCGCCTCGGGAGGTCACAGGACTGCATGCAGCATGTTTTCAGGTTTGAGCAGAAGGATGTAGGGGGGGCTGGGCTTTCAGGCCCATGGGTGGGACTTATGGGACCTGTCAGTGGGGCCTCCAGGGAGATCTACCTAGAATGAGCTCCCTGTCACGGGAGGTATGCAAGAAGATGGCGTGGATGCCACACAGGAGATCTAGGACTTAGGTGAGATGGAGAAGCAGATGTCAGTTTTCTGTGGACCCCCCAGTCCAAAAGTTAGAGTATATTCACTGTGTCTGTCCCAGGGCTAGAATCTGAGTGGCACTCTAGGCATTTGAGTTTGAGACCCTGGTGCTACGTGCTTCTCTGCCTAAGCTTCTAGGTGTGTCTGAGCATACGGCACTCCTAAGATCCTACTAGGCATCTGAGCGTGAGATCCCTAAAAGCCCAACATTGAAGAGGCTGGTTCAAATCCTGCCTCTACCACTTTCTAGCTGTGTGACCTTAGCTCATTTACTCGCCTTCTCTGGGCCTTGGTTTCCTCATTTATGGAAGAATAATAGCATCGATTTCATGGTAATACTGCAATGATTAGAAACATCGATCAGCTGCCTCCTGCACACCTCCCACTGGGGATGTGCCCGCAACCAAGGTACATGCCCTTGACTGGAATCGAACCTGGGAATGCAATGATTAAATGGGAAAAAAATACATGAAAAAATGTTGGGAATAGTGCCCCAGAAACAGGAAGTACTTGAATCATGTTAATGATGTGGATAAAATGATTCCCAGGTTCTACATCATTCCACCCACCCGAGACAGAGAAAGGAAAGAGACCTCAGACTGGGGGTTAACTAGTGGGGAGGTCAGGTGGGGTAGCACCAGGGGTCCCCAGCTCCTCGTTTTGCAGAAAGAGCTGGGATTGGAGCCTGAATGGTTCACAGGGAGGGACCAAAACTCAGAAAGCTGTAGTCAGCGGAGTCCCACAGATAAAAAAGATAAAGGGGTCAGGAGGTTTGGAGAGAAAGTCAGTTCATGTTTCAGGGGAGGGGCTGTCCCCTGGCAGGGCCTCCACCAGCCTAGAAGGCATTCCTGCTCCGGAGCAAGCCAACGCCTTGGCACCAACTGGCTGTTTAACAGAAATACCTGGGGACACCAGTGCCCGGGTTCCAGGAGCAGTGATGGGGCGGCCTCAGGGCTGGAGAGCCTGCTGGGGGCTGGGGTGCTCAAGGCCCCCCGTGATGCTGTTCCCCAGAAGCAGCCAGGGCTTCCTGCACCTGAAGTTTGCGTGGACACGAGAGAACCAGTTGGTGCTGGGCCAGCACAGCGGCCCCTTCGCCAGTGTGCCCGAGCTGGTGCTCCACTACAGCTCGCGCCCGCTGCCCGTGCAGGGCGCCGAGCACCTGGCCCTGCTGTACCCGGTGGTCACGCAGAGCCCCTGCCCCGGGGCCTCTGCCCCCGGCCCTGCTCCGTGAGGCTGATTCGCTCCAGCCCTGGAGGAGGCCAGAGGGAAAGGTTCCTGCTCCTCCAGGCTCTCCGGCTGCATCGGGCCTGCCCTCTCAGCCCCCTTCCGGGTCCTGGGGCCCAAGATTGTAAGAAAGTCCTCCTCTGATCCAGAAAATAAATAAGTTATTGTGTGTTTCAAGTGTCCTTTCTGGGAGGCCGGGACCCCAGCCGCTGGAAAGGATGAAAAAGATGGACCCTTGGAGGGAGAAGGGGGTCCCCAGCTCCTCGTGTTGCAGAAAGAGCTGGGATGGGAGCCTGAATGGCTCACAGGGAGGGACCAAAACTCAGAAAGCTGTGGTCAGCGGAGTCCCGCAGATAAAAAAGATAAAGAAACCCAGGGAGGGCTCTTGGGCCAGCCCCACCCCCCACCCGTTTTCCCCTCCCCATTGGGGCGGGCGGCTGAGGCCTGATGCTGCTGCTGAAAGGACATCTGTCCCCATGGAAACAGCAGGAGTGGGGGAGGGGAGCTGGGCCCAGCTGGTGTCACTTCAAGGTGACTGTTGGGCAGGAGACCCAGGAGGCTGATAAGTGCCAGGGAGTCCCTTCTCCCTCCTCCCCCCACATCTCCGAGCCTGCCTGGTGGGTACCAGCTGGGGAGAGGGACTTCCAGCTCAGGGCACTGCGTGGAGGCTGGGGGTGTCGCTTCTCTGCTAATTGGACATGTCCCTCCACGGACGAGAGGGGGAGCTGCCGAGTCACAGAGCCCCCTTGCCATGGACCTCTCAGCCATCCCTGGGACTCCAGAGGACCCACTGAATCTTTTTAGCAACCCCAAATTGCCACAAACTCTGGCTTTTCTTTCTTCATGAGCCTTTATGGGGTTTTCTGGGGACAAGGGAGAGGTCCAGGGTCAAAGAAACAGGACAGGGGTCTCAGGAGGGGCTGCTGGACTCCCGAGACCAGTCACATCCCGTGTAGCCACGGGCGGGTCTTGTCTGAGTCCCCGGGGTTCTGGCTCCTCTTCCCTTGGCCGTGGCTGCCCCGAGGAGCCTGGGCCAGGAGAGGTTCTGCCTGTAGAAGTGGGGTGACGGGCTGGGGCTGGGCAAGGTTTGGGGGCCAGATGCCACCGAGGGTTGGGGATGGGGAAACACGGTGGAATGGAAGGTACGGCCCTGCTGGTCGTCCCTGGGGATGTCCAGCCCCTTCCCCTCCACAGGCCTTGCCTCCATCCTCTTTGGGACCCGCTGGGCAGCAGAGGATGTTGCTGTAGAGGGATGACAAAGACCCAGAGGGGACAGCCAGCCCAGCCGGTGTGGCTCCGTGGTTGAGCGTCAACCTGTGAACCAAGGGGTTGCGGTTTGATTCCTGGTCAGGGCACGTGCCCAGGTTGTGGGCTTGGTCCCCAGTGGGGGGTGTGCAGGAGCCAGCTGATCAATGATTCTCTCTCATCATTCATGTTTCTATCTCTCTCCCTTTCCCTTCCTCTCTGAAATCAATAAAAATACATATATTTAAAAAGAAGAAAAAAAAGAAGGGACAGTCGTTAAGAGCCTGGCTTTTCTTCAGCTCACCTCCGGGGGCTTTGTCTCTGCTTCTGAAGAGCATGGATGGACAGGGCAGCCTTCACCTCTTCCCCTCTTTTCAGCCCTCAGCCCTCCCTCCCTCCTTCCAGAAGTGGGAGGTGGGGGGACAGTCCATGCTTGTGAAGGGCTGCAGTTCCCACCTATGCCCCTCGGAGAAGGGTCCCGAGGGGATGGCTCCAGAACCATCTGCCCTGGCACGTCTACCTGCGCCCTCACCTGCGTCCTTGAGGAAGGAGCCCCCAAACCGGGTGCCCAGCCTGATACAGCCAAAGTCATGACCCCAGCCTCCAGCAACATGAAGAGTCCTGGGGTGAAAGGGCAGGAGGTGGGCAAGACACAGGTGGCAGGGGTGGCGCAGGAGGGAGCCCAGGTGAGGCTCACCGGGGGAGCCAGGGGTCTGGTTCGTTGGGTAGCAGGCCTCGTGCGGAGGAGAAACCTCTGTCTCAGGGCCCAGCCTCCCACCCCGTGTGGGACCGGAGGGGCCTGCTGTGCTGTTTGACTCTGGGCAGGTGCTGACTCTACACCTGTTTCCTCTTCTGAGAAAAGGACACACATTCCTGTCTGGCTGGGGTGCTGTGGATTTTTTCATCATGAGCTCCATCACCCTGCTCACCAGGGTCAATGACCTGCCCCGGGTCACACAGCAGTGACTGGCGGAGCGGGGACATGCTTCCAGGTCTGTACAGTTGGTGTGACCCCAGCCAAAGGCTCCTGCTGCTGCACCTGAACCCTCCATCTTCAGGTCCTAAGGTGGGCAGTGGTGCCTGGGGGCTGTGAAACAGCTGTGCGGGCGGGAAAGCCACTGTGAGGATGGGACCAGCGCCAACTCCTTCCTTCGCAGCTGCCAACAGCTCAGAGCCTGGTGCCTCTGCTCATTGGTCATTGGCCCCCTCATCACTGGAGGGGTCGGGGGTGCCAGGACAGCCAGAGTCCACTGCCCTGGAGGCAGGCAGTGGGCGGTCCTGCCAGCTGACGGGAATGGGCATCTCTGTCTGAGAGGGGCTGGGAGCCAGGGCGGTGCTGCACTGTCTGAGGGGGGCTGGGAGCCAGGGCGGTGCTGCACTGTCTGAGGGGGCTGGGCATGCGCCCGAGGCCATCAGAAACCACCAGAGAGCAGAGCCCTGGCAGAGGCGGCTTCTCTCCTGCGCCTGCTCCAGGGTCAGCCCAGGAGGCCGTCCTACGCAGAGTGGGGCGCGTGTGAGCCGGGCTGGAGAGAAAGCCGCTGCTGCCCTGGCTCCTGTGTGTCACTGATATGACTTGGCCCTCTCTGCGCCTCAGCTTTTCCGTCTGCAAACGACGCAGCTGCCTTCGCTGGTCTGGAAAGCTCCCTCCAGCTTTGAGTCGGTGACTTTCAGTTCTGGGTTCTAGAATTCTCTGGTCTACTCAGACTGCAAACTTCTAAGCGTCTCTTTATTTAAAGTGTTTGCCATAGTGCAGTTCTAAAATTCTAGAACCATCCATTCCTTTATTTCAGGGTTTCTCAAAATTCTAGAACCATCCATTCCTTTATTTCAGGGTTTCTCAACTGTTCATTATTGTCACCCCTCGCCCCAGGAGTCTTTTTAAAAAATCTTAATTTCTTCACCCATGAAATTTTCATACCACAGATATACTGTAAATCTATTTGTGCATTATGTGCATATTTATGGTTTATGCATAGAAAAGATAAATTTTTCTTTGCTCCCCAAGAACCAATGTTTGCCTCTTTAGGGAGTGATCTGCCCCAATGAGAACATACACTTTAGTTCTTTTTATTTTTTTAAGCCTGCAGTGTCCATTTAGTTCATTTGTTTTTACTTTTTTATTGAAGTTGTTGGGGTGGCATTGGGTAATGAAGTCATATAGGTTTTCAGGTATATGATTCTGTAATACATCATCTGTATATTGCAGTGTGTTCACCGCCCCTTATAAGCTATAGTCCTGAGAGCTGAGAATTTTATAGCCCTAGGATTCTAGAACGGCAAGATTCTATGTTGTGCTTCGAGATCCTAGAATTGTCCCAGGTGCCGCAGAACTGTGTACATAGCTGACGAAAAGACACCTTCTAGAGAATCCACGGCAGCCTTGCGCATGAGAGCCAAGGCCCGAGCTGCCCACGTGCCCATCAGTAGAAATCGGGCTGAGAAATGGCAGGGGAGTCACATGTTGGGGCACTCTGCCACAGGCACCGACATGAATGAGTCTTCTAGACACATGGAACAGAAGAAATCAGATGCAAAAGAGAACACACCCTATGGTTCCATTTAAATAAGATAGAAAACCAGCAAAATGGATCTCTGCTGCTAGAAATCAGGATGGGGGGGGGGGCAGCTGTGAAGGCCCTGAGTGTGGTATCTAGTGGGCTGGAAAAGTAGTTCCTTCTTAAAGAGAGAAGAGTTCACTTTATTATTTTTTAACACGTTCTTTATTGGTTGAGAGAGGAAGGGAGAGAGAGAGAGAGAGAGAGAGAGAGAGAGAGAGAGAGAGAGAGAGAAACATCGATGATGAGAGAGAATCATTGATTGGCTGCCTCCTGCATGCCCCCAACTGGGGATCGAGCCCACTACCAGGGCATGTGCCCTTGACCGGAATTGAACCTGGGACCCTTCAGTCCGCAGGCCAACGCTCTATCCACCGAGCCAAACGGGCTCGGGCTGGAATTGTTTTTAATAAAAACTCCAGAATTATATGTACTTAAGAGTTTATGATTGTGATATTCTGGAACTGGGTTCAGCAAACTCTACAGCCTGCTGATCAAATTCGGCCCACTGCCTGTTTCTTCAAATAAAGTCCTTTTTATATTTTTTATTTTATACTTTAAAATATTTTAATAAGATAAAATTTGCCTACAGTGAAATGCATAGATCTTAAATGTATAATTCAACAAGTGCTCACAAAACGTATCCACACATATAAACAACATATCAATCTAAACATAGAATGTTTCAATCTCTGCAGAAAGTTCCCTGTACATACCACCCCCATAGATGATCACTGTTTTCCTTTATATCATTTAAAGTTCTTTTTAAAAATACGTTTTTATTGATTTGAGAGAGAGAGGAAGGAAGAGGGGGAGAGAGAAAAACATTGATTAGCTGCCTCCTGCACAGCCCCCACTGTGGATTGAGCCCACAACCCTATCAGGTGACCAGGAATGGAATTGTGATGTCTCAACACAACCAACTGAGCCACACCAGCCAGGGCTCAAAGTTTTGTTGGAACCCAGTGCCGCCATTAGCCTACTGACCTCTGCAGGGGTTACAAAGGCAGAGTGGAGTGGCTGCAACAGAGACCCCCTGGTTCACAAAACAGAAACTATTTGCTATATTGCACTTTACAGAAAACGTTTGCCAGAGCTCTGGTCTAGAGTTATAAGTTTCAGCATGCCTTTGGTGCTGTGATTTATAACTTGATGTTCTTGGCATTTGCAGGATTTCTGTTCCTAAAAATCTGATTTGATTTTAGAGCTTGTTTCCAGCTGTTTGAAATTCTAGTCTTAAGATTCTAGAAGTGCCAAGTCCCTGCCTCTTCTCCCCACTTGCTCTCACACCCCTGTCCACCGGGAGCTGTGCTCCATCGCCCTTGGCCTCCACCAATTCAGGAATCTCCATGGTTGCCCAGCACAAGTAGTTCCCATTGTTGTTGATAGTCACGCGGTCCAGCTGCAGTGAGCTTGCCAGGTGGTCGCCAGAAGAGTCATCACTGAGGCTCTCAGACCTCCAGGCTGAGGTTGCGGTTGGTGATGTATGGCGGGCACAAGGTAACACTGTCCTGGGTCCACTCGACAAGGAGCTGCTCCCAGGCCTGAGACTGTGCCACCTGACAGGTCAAGGTCACCTGGCTGTCCTGCCTCCCCTGCAGCAACTTGGGCCCCTGTTGCACATTCAGGCCTGTGGCTCCTTGCAGGGCCGGGAGGCAGAAGAGGTGAGTGAGGCCTCTCTCTCTCTCTCTCTCTCTCTCTCTCTCTCTCTCTCTCTCTCTCTCTCTCTCTCTCTCTCTCTGTGTGTGTGTGTGTGTACACGTGCGGTCTTACTCCCAGAGCCCTTCACTGTGGTGAGGCAATAAGAGGTTAGAACCTTGCTGTCTGTATGATCTTTTGCAAGCTCACTTCTTGCTGAGCTACAGTGGCCTCATCTGTGAAACGAATATAACTCTTTCAGCACTTGTGAAATTTCAAGATGGACTTTATGACATGCCCAGCTCTCAGCCACACAAATGTCGCTTTGTATGTGCCAGGCCTGTTCTGGACACCGTGGACACAGACACAGAGGTGACTGAGACGGACAAAAATTGCACCCTCGGACAGCTGATGGCCCAGGGCAGAGAGAGACACAGGAAGTCGTGAAATAAGAACAATAATGGAGGAAAGGAAGAGGGAGTGGCAATAGGGGATGAGGATGAGGTGAGAATCTACTTACTGAGGGTGGTCAAGGAAGGCCTCTCAGGGGAGGTGACATTTGAGCCGGGGTCTGAATGGTCAAAAGAGAGAAGAAGAGGGCTGATTAGAAAAAGAATTTGCTTTTGGCACCTGTTAGATCCCCCAGAAGGGGTGAGTTTATATTAAGCTCCTGGCATTTGAGACACAATTGCAGCTGAGGATAGAGAGATGAAATCCAGGGAAGTGTTTCAGGCAGAGGGAACAGCATGTGCAAAGTCCCAGAGGAGAGATCAAGCTTGGTGTGCTGGGAAAAACAAAAAGAAAGACAAGCCAGTGGGTGGCCAAGGGGGAGGGAGGGAAGGCCTCGGGGGTGAGGTGGTGATGACAGGCCAGTGAGGCCAGGTCACGCAAGGCTGGTATGTGGGTCTTGGTTTAATTTTATCCTAAGGGCCCCCTCTGAGGACCCTTGCTAGACTCCTTCAACTCTCCTGAGGTTCTGAGTATCAGAGAGAGACAGGCCTTATTTGGCAGAGCAGAGAGACTAAGGTTTAGAGGAGCTTTGAGTGGAAGGGGTGGGCAGCTGGAGTGGTGGACAGCAGAAGGGGGTGCAGAGGGGAGAGAGGCCCAAGGAGGACCAGGGCTGTGCCCATGGACCCCACTCCTGGCCCATCAGGCCTTCCTCTCCTGGCTGGCACCTGCCACCACCTCTATCCCTCCCATGTGACAGACTTCCTGCCACAATCTCTGCCCCGGACACAGAGGCGGGTGTGACAGCTGGGCCAGGCAGCAGATGTCTGGGGAACAATGCTGCAGGGGGCTCCATTCCCAGCCACCTTTTGCCTCCGTTTCTCGAAGTTTTTTTATTTTATTTTATTTGAAAGGCATCTGCATATGTGAGTGGGAATGTGTCCCACTGAGTGGAGATCTTTCTGTAAGACTATATATAAACACACCTGGGGGGGGGGGGGGGATGGAAGGGCAGGTGATGCCGCAGTGGGGCGTGGGGACAGGGAGCAGTGGAGGTGGAAGAGCTGAATCCAGATCTCGGAGGGAAAGAAGGCATGGAAGCCAGAACGTCCGCTGGGCAAAGGCCTTGGCTTTTCAATAAATGCAAGGTTGTGAGTGGTCAGGGGCCAGATCTCGGGGGCCAGTTCTCGGTGGAACTCCAGCGTGAGCAGCAGTGTGGGTGATGCGGTGGGGAGACTGAGGCCCCGGGAGGACTCGGATGGGCTCTAGGTCACAGGGCAGGGCTTGGGGTCGAACCCAGACGTCCTATCTCCCAGCTCCAGGCTCCCTTCCGCTCAGCCATCACCGCCAATTACCAACGTCACCAAGTGCGTCCCAGGTTCGGGGGGTGCGGGGTTGGAGGTGGGTGGGTGGGTGAGCCATTAGGGGTGTCCCTGCTCGCGGAGACCCCAGCGCGGGACTACATTTCCCAGCCTGCCGCAGTGGGTGGGGGTCGCGCCTGCGCGCTGTGGCCAGTGATGGAGCGCTGAAGGGGGGCGCGGCGGCGCGGCGAGGGCTCGGCGGGCCATTGGCTCCCGGCAGCGGCCAAGGCAGCTTGGGGACCAGAAGAGCTAGCGGGGCCCGCGGGCCGGGCCGGGACGAGCTGGGCTGCAGCCATGGAGGACCAGAGGGTAAGACCAGGGCGGGGCGCGGAGGCACCCGCCTCGGGTACCCAAAGAGAGGGGACCAGGGGATGCCGCAGCGCCCTCCCTCCCGCCCCCGCCCCCAGCTGCTCTGCAGTGCAGACTCCACCCCCGCCGCAGTCTAGCCAGTCTAGCCCCTCCATTGGGAACGTAGCCCCCCACATTTGCCCAGACCCCGTATAATCCTAGCCCCCACCCCCACCCCCACCTCCGCCCAGGATCCCAGGCGCAACCTTGACCCCATCCCCCACGCCTTCCATCCGGACTGCGGACCAGGTGTCCCGGCCCCGCCCCACCAGCTCAGCACAGGTGACTCCACCGACCCTGCGCCCCCAGAAAACAGACCCGTCCGAGCCTGGGTCAGAGCTACAGGCCCCAGCAAGACCCTCCCACGCCGCCTTCCCTCCCAGCATTCCCTCCCGGCATCCCCTCCTCCAGACCATCCCCCTTCCCCACTTACCTGGGCTCCCTGGCACCCGCTCTCCTCAGCTTCCTCCGTTCTCCTTGCCAAGCCCTTTTCCGAGGGCCTCCCCTTCCCCAGGTCAGCCCATCTGCTGCAGGTATCAGTTTCCTTTGGGGTTTTCTTTTCCCAAGCGGGCCCCTCACCTTATCATGCCCCGCCTTCAGGACGGAGGTTTGCAGGCTTTGTGCTTCGGCCCAGAGTTTGTTCCTTACTGAGAGGCTCACTCTGTGCCTCAGTCTCCTCGCCTGTGAAATGGGTATCTTCATGGTGCCCACCTGCTGGGTGAGGGAAGGTAGGACCAGAGCTTCCCCCGGGGCCTGCCTCCTGCTGAGTGCCCAAGCGCATTGGCACAGTGGCCCCACACCTCCCTGGATCTCCGGAGGTTGGAGCGATGAGCTCCAAGTGAGGGAGCTGGGCCAGGCTGAGGGGCTTACTGGCCTTGTGTGTGTGCGCGCTTCCCGTGGGGGCAGGAGGCTCTGCGGAAGATCATCACCACGCTGGCTGTGAAGAATGAAGAGATTCAGAGTTTTATCTACTCCCTCAAGCAGATGCTGCTGAACATGGAGGTGAGGGCAGGTGATGGACGGGAGGGCGGGGGCAGCCCTGTGAGCGAGCCTGTTGCTGCTGATAACCGTGGAACTCGGCCCGGCTGCCATGTCCAGGCCTCAGTTTCCCCATCTGAGCATGGGCTTTGGCCAGTCCTGGCTGTTGAGACCTGCAACGTCTCTCCAAGGCGAACTCGGCCAAGGTGCAGGAGGACCTGGAGGCGGAGTTCCAGTCCCTTTTCTCCCTCCTGGAGGAGCTGAAGGAGGGGATGCTCATGAAGATAAAACAGGACCGTGCCAGCCGAACCTACGAGCTGCAGGTGTGTGTCTCGGGGGACTCTCCAAGACCCCAGATGCCATCTCCACTGCACCCCTCAGCTCTCAGCTGGCCTCATGTGTTTCCAAACCTGCCCCTTTTCCTTGTCCCTTCTTGGAGATGCTCCCGTGTTCCCAGTGTCCAGAGCCAGACACCCTGATGATGCTGGCCTCGCCGCCTCTTTCCCAGGTCTCTTGCCTGTCCCCTCCTTGGCCATGACCTATCAACCCCCCACCCACCTGTTCTCCCTCTTAATCCCCTGTCCATTCCGCCCGCTTGTCGCCATTGCCACAGCCACACCCCCACAGCTGGCTGTTCCTCCCTCCTGTTCTCACCCAGTGACTCGTTTCTCAGCCCTTCCCACTGGTCCCCCAGATCTGATGGCCAAATACCCCCCATGGCTCCTGTGGGATTGGTGGGGCTGTATTGAAACCTCCTGGGCAACTTCCTAACACCCCAGATTCCCATCCCCGGGGACGTTGAGCCCTGGGCCTCAGGTGTGGCCTGGGCACGTGAGTGTTTGAGGAAGGATCCCCAGGTGATGCTGATGTTCTTCGAGGAGCAACACCCAACCTTTCAACCTTTCTCCAGCTCCCGCTCCCACCTGGAGCTGGAAAAGGGTGTGGTGCCCTGAATCCCAAAGGCATGGGGAGGCCTGGGAGGGTTTGATGCACTGGGGTGAGAGGTTTCCTTCCTCGGTGCCCTGCCACCCGCAGAACCAGCTGGCTGCCTGCACGCGGGCCCTGGAGAGCTCTGAGGAGCTTCTGGAGACGGCCAACCAGACCCTGCAGGCCACAGACAGCGAAGACTTTCCTCAGGTGGGGCCTCAGAAGCCATGCTGGTAGGGCTGCCAGACAGAATGCAGGACACCCCGTTAAATTTGCATTTCATGTCCACCATGAGTAACTTTTTAGTAAAGTAACTTTACTAAAAAGTATGGCCCATGCAATATTTAGGATAAGTATGTTCCATGTGATCTTTGGGACATACTTATAAAAAAAAAAAATTATTGGCCCTCGCCAGGTGGCGTGGTTGAAGCATCATTCCAATGACCCACGGTTGCAGATCCCTGCTCAGAGCACGTGCAAGAATTAACCAGTGAATGTGTGGACTGGTCGAACAACAAATCTCTCTCTCTCTCTGAAAATCAAGAAATAAAAGTTTTAAAAATAAGTAAATAATAATTATTTGTTGTTAACCTGAAGTTCATACTTAACAAAGAATAATTTTTTTAGTATAAGTATATCCCATGCAAATGTTTATATAAGTATTTCTCAAATGTTGCATGGGATATATTTATATTAAAATAATAATTATGTATTTGAAATTTAAATTTAACAAGGAGTAATTTTTTAGTATACTATATCCCATGCAATATTTAGTACGGCAGGTCCTTGAATAACATTGTTTTATTCAAAGTTGTTTTGTTATAACACTGACAAGGGGGCGAAAATTCTGGTTGAGGCCACTCTCTGTGTCGAGGGTGCACGTTCTCTCCATATCCGCGTGGGTTTCTCCAGGGACTCCAGTTCCCTCCACATCCCAAAGCTGGGCACGTGGGGTGAATTGGCGTGTCTACCCTGTCCCAGTCCGAATCGAGTGCGGGGTGGGTGTAAGTGCGCCGGTGATGGGAAGGTGTCTTGTCCAGGGTGGGTCCCTACTGGTGCCCTGAGTTGCTGGGAAAGGCTCTAGCCACCTGCAACCCAGAATTGGAATCAGGAGGTTGGAAATCATTCTCTTTCTTTCTTTCTTTCTTTTTTTTTAATATATTTTATTGATTTTTTACAGAGAGGAAGGGAGAGAGATAGAGAGCCAGAAACATCGATGAGAGAGAAACATCGATCAGCTGCCTCCTGCACACCTCCCACTGGGGATGTGCCTGCAACCCAGGTACATGCCCTTGACCGGAATCGAACCCGGGACCCCTCAGTCCGCAAGCCAACGCTCTATCCACTGAGCCAAACCGGTTTCGGCCATTCTCTTTCTTGTTTTTTTAATCCTTCTTAAATGGGTGTACAGCTCACAGTTATTTCCATGTTTAATATTAGAAGTGTTTGGGGCCTTTATTTAGAAGTTTGGTGATGTTCTTGTGACCAGAAATAGGCTATAGGAACCTACCTCTTGTTTATATTAGTTAGCCTATCATAAGGTTGATTTTATTACTCATCATTTCGCTTAAAGTTGCAGTTTCTAAGAACCTATTGACACCCTAGCCGGTTTTGCTCAGTGGATAGAGCATCGGCCTGCGGACGGAAGGGTCCCACGTTCGATTCCGGTCAAGGGCACATGCCTGGGTTACAGGCTCAGTCCAATGTGCAGGAAGCAGCCAATCAATGATTCCCTCTCATCGTTGATGTTTGTACTTCTCTCTTCCTCCCCCTTCCTCTCTGAAAGCAATATATATATATATATTTAAGACCCTATTGACGACATTGAGGACTTACTGTATATGTATGTTATAAATATCGAATAGGACATACCTATAACTAAAAAAAGCATTGTTGATCTAAAATGCAAATTAACTGGCTGTCCTGTGTTTTTTATTTGCTAACTCTGCCAATTGTATGTTCTGGGCACTGGGCAGGAGGTGGGGGAGGGGTGCTGTCTTTGCCCTTCTGTCCTTTTAGGGCGCAGCCAAGGGTTTCTGCCCCAGTGCTGGGGACTTTAGCATGGCTGCCGCGCTGGACCTCAGTCTTCCTGTCTGTACAGTGGTTTTCTAATGCAGTCGCGACAACTCTGAATTTTATTCTGTCCCTCTTTCTAGGCTGCCAAGCAACTCAAAGATGGGTAAGATACTGGATCTGGCCCCCACCCCAGTGTCCTGCCCATGGTATGACGGTGGGGACACCCAGGTGAGGGTCCCTTGGCCCAGAGCACTGGACCAAAACCAGGGGGAGGGAGTCACCCCCATACCTCAGAGGACCAGGCGGGGGGGAGGGCCCCCCCCCGAGATGCCTGCCAGCAGGCTGCCTCCACTTCCTTCCCTGCAGTGTGACCATGGCCCCTGCCTTCCGGCTGTCACTGAAAGCCAAGGTCAGCGACAACATGAGTCACCTCATGGTGGACTTTGCCCAGGAGAGGAGGATGCTACAGGCACTCAAGTTCCTGCCGGGTGAGAGGGGACCGCCCCAGGGTTTCAGAGAAGTGGCTGGGGCGTCTGGGAGGCCCTGAGAGAAGGCTTGGAGTAAGGCTGACAGCCAGGTGTGGGGACCCCAAAAATGCCCTTGGGTGGAGCCATAAAGAAGCCCCCCTGGTGCCACCGGGAGGCCACACACCTGGTGGAATCCTGAGGAAGCCCCGCCCCTCGTGGCAGAGCCCCAATGGCCCCGCCCAGCAGTGGTGGCGTCCATGGAGGCCACGCCCCTAGTTGGTAGAGAATTCTGGAAATGTTCTACCTGTAAGTGGTGGAATCCTGAAAAGGCCCAGCCATTTGTTGGTTGAACCCTGAAAAAGCTTTGCCCCCCCCCCAACACTTTGATGGAACCTGATGAGGCTGCACCCCCAGGCCCCAGAACTCAGAGAGGCCCCCATGCGTGGGGTCCAGAGGAGGCCTCATCCCCAAGGAGGCCTATCCTGTGGACGGGCTCAGCAAGGCCTGCCCCCTCCCCCTCTCCTGGCCAGTCCCCAGTGCCCCTGTGATCGACCTGGCCGAGACTCTGGTGGCAGACAACTGTGTGACGCTGGTGTGGCGCATGCCGGAGGAGGACAGCAAGATCGACCACTACGTGCTGGAGTACCGGCGGACAAACTTCGAGGGCCCGCCCCGCCTCAAGGAGGACCAGCCCTGGATGGTTGTGGAGGGCATCCGGCAGACGGAGTACACCCTGACCGGTAAGGGCGGCTCGGCCCAGCCGCCAGCCCCCCTGTGCCGCCCAGTCCCTCCTGGCTCCCGTCTCCCTGTCAGCCAGCTGGAGGTGGGTGGGTGGTCCCCCATACTCATGGGTGGGAGAGCAGCCTGGATGGACTGACCAGGAGCAGCAGGAAGTAGTAATAACAAGGCTACTGATGACAGCACCTGCACCACTGACTGAGGGCTCACTGTGTGCTAAACGCTTTACCCACACGTAACAGGCAGGCTTATCACCATGTTACAGATGAGGGACACAGGGGAAGAAGGCACCCTCCATCCACATCTTATCTCTACTCTCCTTCATTCATTCATTCATTCATTCATTCATTCCAGTTTACTGAGTGAGTACATTGTACTAGGTGCTGTCCTTACAGCAGTGAGAAAGCAGACAAAAATCCCTCCCCTCATGGAGCTGGTGTTCTGGGGCCACCCTCTCAGGATTGGGGGATTTCCTTGGCAGGTACAAGAAAGCAGAAAGGCTCTGCCAGTGTGGTTCAGTGGTTGAGCGTCCTCCCATGAACCAGAGGTTGTGGTTCGATTCTGGTCAGAGCACGTGCCTGGGTTGCCGGCTTGATCCGTGCAGGAGGCAGTGTTGATGTTTCTCTCAGGAAGTAATAATAACAGTTATTACTCTGAAATCAATAAAAACATATTAAAAAAAAAAAAGAAAGCTTGGGGGAGTCCACCCAGCTGGTAGGGGAGGGTCTGATGGGGGAGGGAGTTGGGTGTCAGAGCCACCCTGGGCCAGGGAAACGCTCAGGGCGGGGGAGCCTTGCTGGCAGGATAACTAGCACCACAGCTCCTGCGCTGTAATCAGCCTGTTCCTGGTCTGTAATTAGCAAACATAGTTAATAATAAGTATGCTAATTGCGGGAAAGAAAAGCCACCCGTCTACAAGATGGCCTGAGAAGCGATTGGTTTATCCTTTGCGTGGGAATCAAAATAAACACACCCCATTTTTCCTCAATCTTTTTTATTGTGGTAAAATACATATAACATAGCATTTATCATCTTAACCTCTTTTTTTACTTTTTTTATTTTAGAGGTCATTTTTTGTTGTTGTTAATCCTCACCCGAGGATCTTTTCCAATTGATTTTTAGAGAGAGTGGAAGGGAGGGGAAGAGACAGAGAGAGAAACATAGATGTGAGAGAGATGCATCGATTGGTTGCCTCCCACATGCACCCCAACCAGGGCCAGGGATTGAGCCTGCAACTGAGGTACATGCCCTTGACCAGAATCGAACCTGGGACCCTTCAGTCCAGAGGCCGACACTCTATCCACTGAGCCAAACAGGCTAGGGCTACAGGACATTTATTAAAGCTGGGGAAGGGCCTAGGGATAACAGGAGAGGGACTAGGTTGGGAAATGAGCCTAGGTCGGGCTGCTTTGGCTGATTAAGAAGTCAGAGATATATTTAAAGGAGAATAAATACACTTCACAGGATAAAAGAAGAAAAATTTTGCCAACAAAATTGCATCTTACATGGAGGGAGTAATTGTAACTAAATAATAAATTTAGGGCCCTGACCGGTTTGGCTCAGTGGATAGAGCGTCGGCCTGCGGACGGAAAGGTCCCAGGTTCGATTCCAGTCAGGGGCATGTGCCTTGGTTGTGGGCACATTCCCAGTAGGAGGTGTGCAGGAGGCAGCTGATGGATGTTTCTCTCTCATCGATGTTTCTGGCTCTCTATCCCTCTCCCTTCCTCTCTGTAAAAAACAAATAAAATATATATTTAAAAAATAAAAAAATAAAAAATAATAAATTTAGGTGAAAACTTAAAAAAAAAAAGTCAGAGAAAAGGGAGTCTTGGGAACAGGTTCAGGGGGGTTAGTCCTGGATGAGCTGTCACTGCTCATTGCTGCCCTGGGTGCAAGCTTTGTGGGGTCCTTCAAGTTTAGGATTGGGGAAAGAAGGGCCGAGGAGGCTTGGGCGTGCTCCTGGGAGGGAGAGCAGTCCAATCTTAACCATTTTATTTTACTTTATTTATTTATTTTTTAAAATATATTTTATTGATTTTTCACAGAGAGGAAGGGAGAGGGCTAGAGTTAGAAACATCGATGAGAGAGAAACATTGATCAGCTGCCTCATGCACACCCCCCACTGGGGGTGTGCCCGCAACCAATGTACATGCCCTTGACTGGAATTGAACCTGGGACCTTTCAGTCCGAAGGCCAGTGCTCTATCCACTGAGTCAAACCAGTCAGGGCTTATTGATTTTTTACAGAGAGGAAGGGAGAGGGATAGAGAGTTAGAAACATCTATGAGAGAGGAACATTGATCAGCTGCCTCCTGCACACCTCCCCACTGAATGTGCCCGAAACCAAGGTACATGCCCTTGACCGGAATCGAACCTGGGACCCTTGAGTCCACAGGCCGACACTCTATCCACTGAGCCAAACCGGTCAGGGCCAATCTTAATCATTTAAAGAAATATATTTTTATTGATTTCAGAGAGGAAGGGAGAGGGAGAGATAGAAACATCAATGATATACTGGGGATCGAGCCTGCACCCGGGCATGTGCCCTGACTGGGAATCGATCCCAGGACCTCTTGGTCCATGGGATGACGTCCAATCCACTGAGCTACCACAGCCAGGCTTAACCATAGGCTGTATAGTTCAGTGGCATTAACATTCACATTGTTGTGCAGCCGTCACCACCATCCATCTCTGTAACTTTTCATCTTGCAAAACTGAAAGAAACTGTCCCCATTAAACACTAACTCTCATTTCTCCTCCTCCTACTTGACTTCCTGTTCCTCTGAATTTTAGTACTAGAAGTACCGCGTATGCGTGGAGCCATACCGTGTTTATCCTCTTGTGACTGGCTGATTTCGTTGAGCATGTCTTCCAGGTTCATCCATGTTGTAGCACGTGTCAGAATTTCCTTCCTTTTTTTAGGCTGAACAATAGTCCATTGTCTGGGTATGTCCCGCTTCCTCCAGCAGTGGCAGCTTACATGGCTGTAGTTCAGTATCAGAACCAGGAAGCCGACAAGGCTACATTCTACAGTGTTGATTCACATTCCACCAGTTTCACACACCCTCCGTGTGTGTGTGTGTGTGTGTGTGTGTGTGTGTGTGTGTGTGATCCCTTATGCAATCTTATCCCACAGGCAAATTCCTGTCACCACCACCACAGTCCAGGTAGAGATCTGCTCTGTCACAGGCTTTCTGATGCATCCTTTTTATAGCCACACTCTCTCGCCTTTTACAAAATTCCTACTGAGTTAGTTCCTCCGGGCAGGAAGTCAAATCTATTAAGAGGTGTGTGGTATTGAGGAACAGGTGAATGTGCTCACCTGTGGAAATAACCTATGTTTACTTGCAATCAACCTACTATCTCGTTGATTGCCTGGAAAGACAGAAGGGTTTTGGTTGTTTATGACTTCCATTCCTCAGCTCATCTCATCCTCATGTGAACCCTGCTCAGCGTGGGGAATATGATCGCTGTTTTGCAGAATAGGAAACTGAGGCACAGTGAGTGAATCTACCAGCGGTTCTCAACCTGTGGGTCGCGACCCCTTTGGCGGTCGAATGACCCTTTCACAGGGGTCGCCTAAGACCATCCTGCATATCAGATATTTACATTACGATTCATAACAGTAGCAACACTACAGTTATGAAGTAGCAACGAAAATAATTTTATGGTTGGGTCACAACATGAGGAACTGTATTTAAAGGGCCAGAAGGTTGAGAACCACTGCCTACTAGTGGTCAGCAAACTGCAGCTCGAAAGCCACATGCGGCACTTTGGCCCCTTGAGTGTGGCTCTTCCACAAAATACCACGTGCGGGCACGCACGTACAGTGCGATTGAAACTTCGTGGCCCATGCGCAGAAGTCGGTATTTTGTGTAAGAGCCACACTCAAGGGGCCAAAGAGCCGCATGTGGCTCGCGAGCCGCAGTTTGCCGACCCCTAGACCATGTCCCATTATTTGAATCTGAGCCTTCTGGGTGGCAGTTTTAGTTCTCGAGCAGTAGATGGCGCTGCCGAGCAAACCCTTGAATTCAGAGAAGGGAATCCAAAGACGGGTGAGGCAGTTTGGGTGGGAACCCGGGAGAGGTGGCGAGGGGGAAGGAGCCTGCAAAGACCAAGGGGAGCAACCAGAAGGGGCAGCCAGGAGAGGGCAGTGCTCTGGCTGCCGAGGAAGGACAGTGTTCTTAGGAGGGAAAGAGTGGTCACTGAGGGGGTCCTGCAAGGCGGGGGGGGGGGGGGGGGGGGGGGGGGGGGGGGGGGAGGGGGGGAGCAGGTTGAGGGGGCAGCGAAGGGGGTGTTCCTAAGCTCTCCAAAGAGGTTTAACTTGAGGGGGAAGACAGCTCGAAAGCTTCTTTTTATTTTTTAAGATCGGAAGCAACCTTAAGAAAAGGACAGAAGGGAGGGCAAGATATATAGCCTAGTAGAAGGGAAAATCTTTCATACGTCACCAGGTACGCCCAGATCCAGGGGTTGCACTTTCTGGCTCTGGGACTTGCATTCTCCAGGAGACTAGCCAAGAGCACTGACAATTTTCCCTGGAGGCACTTCCTCCGAGCTGGCCAGCCCAGAGGAAAAAGCCGCTCTGCCCTGCTCTCTGTAATACCAGCCGGAGTCCTAGGGAAGGCTCTGGCCCGTCTGGGTGGGGTGCAGAGCCAGGTAATTCATAGCTGCACAGGTGTATGTGGGTGAGGTTTCTCAGGTAAGATGTCATTTGCAAGGGGCTCCTTAGAATGAGGCGTTTACTGCAGTGGGTTTACTGTGGGACACAGGGGCCTCGAACCTCCTGCTCTGAGTCTATGCTGATTCCCTCTGTTGTCTCCTAGGCCTCAAGTTTGACATGAAATACATGAATTTCCGCGTGAAGGCCTGCAATAAGGCAGTTGCAGGCGAGTTCTCCGAGCCAGTGACTCTGGAGACACCAGGTGACTGGCCCCCACACCTACCCTGGCTCTGATCACAACCCTTCCTGCCCGGGGCCCCAGGGACGGGCGTGAAATGAGAATCTTCAGGATGTTGTGGCCCTTTTCGCCCTTTCTGGCTGCCAGAAAGCTCAGAGCTTAGTTCACAGTAGAATTCCGCAGCCTGAGTGTCTGGTATAAAACCTGCTTCTGTCCTTTACTTTTGCTCTTGATCCCTTTATACCTGGATGATTTACGCGCGCGCACACACACACACACACACACACTCTTCCTCTCTCCCCCTTCCCCAAGTGAGTAAGTGCTCTATAGAACTGGGGAGGGTGTGTCAGCAGTGCAGACAGACTGCTTAGCCTTCAGAGCTAAGACTGCCACCCAGAAGGCTTGGATTCAAATATGGAACATGGCCTAGAAGCCTGTCTGCGCTGCTGACACACACTTCTTAGTGCATGGCCTTTTCCAGTCGAGCTTAACTGTCATATTGCTGCCCACCCCCTTTTCTGGGATTAATCCCCAATGGAAGCTCAGGGCAGCACAAGTGGTTTGAAAATGGCTCCAGGCCTGGGAGCCTTTGACAACAAGCCCTTGGCCTTACTCCTCTGGCTGTATGGTCTGCCCCCTCCCTTCTCCCCCCCATCTTGTGTCTTTTGGTGTCTTTCTGCCTGTCGTCTCTGTATCTGTCTGCCTCTGAGACTTTATTGGTGTCTTTCTCTCTGTCTCTGTCCTCTGTCCCCGTCATGGTCTGTCTTGGTCACTGTTTGTCTCTCTCTGTCTCTGTGTCTCTCCGGGTTTCCCCATCTCTGTGACTCCCACGTCTGCCCGGCCCCAGCGTTCATGTTCCGCCTGGATGCGTCCACATCCCACCAGAACCTCCGGGTGGATGATCTCTCCGTGGAGTGGGACGCCATGGGCGGGAAGGTGCAGGACATCAAAGCTCGAGAGAAAGACGGCAAGGGGCGGACGGCATCTCCCGTCAACTCCCCGGCCAGGTAGCCTGCCCCCTCCCCTCCCCAAATCTCTGGGAGAAGAGGTCAAGATGGACACAAACACACAAGCCAGTGTGGTCAAGGCTGGGGTGGAGGGAGGGACGTGGAGCTGGGGAGCCAAAATAGTGAATCGAGGGAGAGGAGCCTTTGAACTGGGTATTGACGGCTGAACAGTCTTCCAGACAAGGAAGGGCACAGCCATGTTCTGACATCAGGGGCCCAGGATATGAGAAGGACCACATACTGTCAAGGGCTGATGAGAAGTCCGCGTGGCTGGGGTGGACCAGAGAAGCATTCCAATGGGGAGGGGAGGGCTGAACTGAGCCCTCCCCTCCCTGTCACCCACAGGGGTACTCCATCTCCCAAGAGGATACCCTCAGGTCGTGGGGGACGGGATCGCTTCACAGCTGAGTCCTACACGGTGCTAGGTAAGGAGGGGGGAAGCTTGGAGGAGAGTGGGGGACTCTGGCCAGGGCTCTGATGCTGGGGTGCGGGAGAGAACTCCTTTGGCTGGGGAAACTGAGGCAGCCATCAACAACGCTTCTCTGGGAATGGTCCCAATAACGTGTTGTGGTGTTGGTGGAATGGGAAGGTTTGGGGAGGAATGATTATTGAGGGGAGCCAGAGCTTAGGGAGCTGAGGAAAGAGGCTCTGGACTGGGGAGTGGCTGGTTGGGAGCTTGAGGGGGGATTTCCTGGGTCCATCAAATAGTTGGGACTGGGGGAGTAACTGGGATTTGGGAAGTAGCTGGGAAGGAAATGATTGCTTATAAAGCAGCTGGAGGAGCCAGAGAAAGTAGCTGGTGTCAGAGAAGTTGAGAATACCTAGGATTGGAGAATTAGTTAGCACTACAGGAGTGATTAGATCCTCTGAAGGAGAAGCCAGAGTCCGTGAAGGAATTGGAGTTTAGGGAAATCACCACTATCCAGAAAAGAGCTCAAAAAAGAGGCTGAGGTTTGAAGAAGTTGGTGTGGTCAGTACTATCAGGGGGTAGAAGGTAGAGGAAGGTAGGGAGTTGCTGGGTTTTGGGGATAAGCGAAGGCCTGAGGAGAAGTTAAAGTTCTATGGAGGATTTGGATTTTCTGGAAAGCATCTGAGATTATCCAGAATTAAGGTTTGGAGAGGAAGCAGGGGAAGGTGTGGGGGTGTCTGTAGAGTGTCTGAGATTTGAGAGGGAGCTATCTAACCCCTGGGAGGAGCATAGACTAGTTGTGGTTGAGAGAGTAGCTGAGGTCAGGGAAGAGTAGACCTGGAGAAGAAATGTATCTGGAGTTAGTCCTGTTTCTGGGGAGGGGCTGAGCTCTCAGCTAGAGATGAGCTGGGATCTGGGTAGGGCAGGAGTATTCAGAGCAGCTGAAACTCAGGAATAGCTGGAATGGGGAGTAGCTGAGGTAGGAAGAATCTGGGTCTGGGGTCTGGAAAGGATGTAGACTCAGGATTCAGCTGATATCTGGAGGGGATCTGAACCCCAGGAAAAGCTGAGGCCTGGAAGAACCTGGTCTCCACAAGGAGCAAACTGGGAGTCTGGGAAGCAACAAGAAGGAGTCTGGAGTCCTGGAAAGTATCTGGGCTCCAGTAGGGAATACTTGGAATCAGCCAGGAGCAAAGGTTTGGGGATTATCTAGTTTCTGGGAAGAATTGAGGACTGAGGAGTAACTGAACATGGGGAGTTGGAAGGAGTTTTTAAGGCCTGGAAGTATCTGGAAGGAGTAGCTTGTACTTGTAGAGAATCTGAAAGGACTAGTGGAAGCTTGGAGAGAATCTGGACTTAGTATCTAGAGGAAGTTGATAAATCCTGGGAAATATCTGGGAGGAATAGCTGGGGACCTAGGAGTATCTGGAGGGAATAACTGTGGTCTGGGGAGTACCTAGGTGGCTGCCCCTTTGTGGAAGAACACCTGGGACCCTATTCTACCTGTTCTCACTGCCCAACCTGCCCCACAGGGGACACGTTGATCGACGGCGGGGAACATTACTGGGAGGTGCACTACGAGCCAGACAGCAAGGCATTCGGCGTGGGGGTGGCCTACCGCAGCCTGGGCCGCTTCGAGCAGCTAGGCAAGACCGCGGCGTCCTGGTGCCTGCACATCAACAACTGGCTGCAGGTCAGCTTCACCGCCAAGCATGCCAACAAGGCCAAGGTGCTGGATGCCCCCGTGCCTGACTGCCTGGGCGTGCACTGCGACTTCCACCAAGGTGACCCTGGGCCCCAGCTGGCATCTCCAGCCGCCTCTGCCTGTCTGATCTCTCTGCCGCAAACCCTCTAACTGGTCCCCCGTCCCTCTGCCCTCCACCCAGGCCTCCTGTCCTTCTACAACGCCCGCACCAAACAGCTGCTGCACACCTTCAAGGCCAAGTTCACTCAGCCACTGCTGCCTGCTTTCACAGTAAGGTCCCCTCCACGGCCTGAGATGGGGGTGCGTGTGGCTCTGGGGGATGACTTTGCTGCCGAGCCTCTTCTTTCCCCTCCCTGTCTCCCAGGTTTGGTGTGGCAGCTTTCAGGTGACGACAGGCCTACAGGTCCCCAGCTCCGTGCGCTGCCTGCAGAAGCGAGGCAGTGCCACCAGCAGCTCCAATACCAGCCTCACCTAGGCCAGTGCACCCAGCTGGGCTGATTTTGGGGGCCACCACCAGGTCTCGGCTGTTTTCAGCCAGGCACCCTCTTCTCACTTGCTGCTTGGAGCCTTAACTCCTAACAGGGGTCACCAACAGGAAGCAGGAACCAGGGCAGGTCCTCCTCCCCACCTCACTTCCCAATAAAGGTCAAACACTGGCCGGGTGTGCTGCTGGTTCTTGTAGAGGATCTGACACTGGCTGTGCCTTGGCCCTCTCCAGACCTCAGCTTTCCCAGCTATAAAATGGGCTTTTCTGGCAAAGTCAGATGGCAGTTTTTGCTGAGCTGAGGATCTTTAGGAGTGAATGAAGTCAGCTGATGAACAAACACCTCACGGCCCCACTAAGCCAAGTCACACTCATGGGCTTTGGGGTCACTTGAACTTTAATTCTGGGAGGAGGGATCCTTCTGACTGGCGCTCCGAGTCTGGCCCGCTAATCCCCAGGGTGCTCGGCTGAGTGTTCCAGTGCCCGCCGCCTCTGCAGTTTCTCTTCCAGCTCTGCTGTCACGCTGGCCAACCCTGGCGGGTGGGTACCCTAGACTTCAGCTGTGCCCAGCATCCCCAGTCCATGCTGCCCCACCCCCATCCCCCCCCAGGACTGGCTACAGAAATATGTGGGCCCAGTGCAAGATGAAGATGTGTTCAGGAGGCAGCAGGAATTTTGAGAGGGAGACAGCAGAGCATTAAACCAAGTACAGGCCCTTCGGAGTGCTGGGTCCTGTGTGACTGCACAGGTCGCACGCCTGTGAGGCGCACACCCCTCCCACATCGGCCCTCCAGGCCCCGTACCTGTTGTGAGGCAGACAGCCTGTGCTGAGCTGATGGCCAGCTTCTTGGCAAGGCCGCTGGCAAGGCATTTGGGCTCTGGGGAAGGCAGATAAAGGCTGAGAATGGCCCTCCACTGGATGAGGGAGGTGCTGGGGAAGGGGGTCCCCTACCTGGCTTAGGTGCCATGGGTGGCTTTGGAGGCTTTGCCTGAACCTTTTGGGCTGGGTGACACTGCTTGGGCCAGCCCGGCGAAAGCGCTGCACAGACAAAGATACGGGGTGTCACATCGGCCGTGAGCCTGCTCCCCCTGCCCCTTCTCTCACCACCCCTGGTCCCCCACCCACCATCCGTGTTCTCATATTCGGCAACTGGGGCATCTCCAATGGGGATCACATAGTTCTCATCCGGGTTCAGTAGCGGGGGCAGCTTGTGCTGTCTGGGCACAGGCATGATGGGCACAGGAGGTGGCTGCTTGGGGCCACCGGCAGGGGCTGCAGCACCTGGTGGGTGGGAAACGGCAGGAATTTGGGGGACCCACATGGTGCAGGGATACCTCAGGGTGGGTCTGTGTGCTTCTGAGCAGGACTGTGTGTGCATGCCTGGATGCAGGCCAGTGCCCCTGTGCACATGTGTCTGTACAATGTCCATTTGTGTGTGTGTTTGTGTTCCTGTGTAGCATAAACATGAACACTGGGTGAGTATGAATAAGTTAAATGTAAATATGCATAACAGTGCATGGGTGCTAAAGTCTGTGCTGGGGCACTTGTCTCCATGTGTACATTCATGTGTCTATAAATGCCTGAATTTGTGCTGTGCACACATAATTGTGGCTTAAGGTATGCATGTGTGCTAGATGGAACAGAATCATGACACATGCATGTGTGGAGCTGTTATCTACATGGGTCTGATTATTCAGGTCACATAGTCTGTGTTGGTGATTGTGGCATGTGCATATGAATAGATACATACATGCCCCCCCACCTCCACCCCCACCCCTGCATCTGCCCAGCCCAGGGCGGGTCATACTGCTTCTAACCTCTTCCTCCTGCTCCATAAGCTGGACTGCCTCCCCTGCCTTTCCCAACACCCACCCCAATTTCCCACCTCTGGGTAGTTCTTACTCCATGTGCACCTTCTGTCCCCCTCTGCCCATCTCTGCCTCCTGAAATCCTTTGCGAACTTCAGCAAAAACACCCTCTCCTCCAGGATGCCTTCCCCTACCCTGTCCCCCTTCTCCCCTACTCCAGGCACTGTACCAGCCCCAGGTTCAATCCCACAGGGCTGGGAGTGTCTGTATCCAGCTCTGTCTGCCCCCTCTACAATCTGGAAGTCCCCAGAGGTCAGGGTTTGAGTAATTTCTGGGTACCAGATGGGGCACACGAGGGACCATGTGGGTCCTAGGTTTCTCCACCCTCTGCCCCAGTGGCTGCCTTGGGAGGGGCATCACCTGGGCAGAGGACCGCGGGAGCCAAGGGTGCTACCCACACACTCTCGCCGTTCTCTTTATCCGCCTCCACGTAGCCTAGAATAGAGAGGGCTGCCTGGAGGAGGCGCAGCGGCACGGCCCGGGGCTGACCCAAGGGAGTCCCCATCCAGGCGGGAGGCGGGAGAGGCAGGGACTGGGCCCCCGAGTCCTCACCCACCTAGCACCTTCTCATAGTCCTCGTCCAGTAGGAAGGGCACCAGCGCATTCTTGGTTTGCAACACGAAATAGTTGACCACGTCTTGGAGTGAGGCGCAGGAGACCTGGGAGCGGATAAGGGGTCCGGTTAGGGCCGCTGGGCAGGGGCGCGGACCCCGCCCGTGCGCTTCCCGAGCCCCCGCCCCAATGATCACCGGCTCCTCCACGTCGATCACGTACTTCGGGCCCTCGCGCTTCACCTTGTAGTGGCGGACCAGCGGCGTCCTGCACGTGCAGCGGGCGACGGGGTGCCCCGTCTCAGACCCAGGAGGGCCCCGCCCCTCGCTCTGTCTCCGCCCCCCGCACACCGGCCACGCCCCCAAACCCTCCCCGGACTCGTCCCCGGGCGGACTCGCTCTAGGATTCGGCTCCGCCTCCACGTCTGACCACGCCCCTCCTTCGACACCCCCACCCCACCCCCACCGCCGGCCTCGGAGCTGCGCTTGCGCACCCGCTGAGCGTCTGGCGCGTGGAGACGGACACACCGTCCCTGCCGTCCCCGCTGGGTCGCAGCAGCAGGTTCCCGCACTCGGGGTAGCGCTCCAGCAGCAGCTGCGCCTCCAGCCGGCTCACCTTCATGAAGCACCTGGGGAGGGTCGCGTCTCACACCGGACAGGCCTTGTCCCGCGGAGACCCAGACGCCCTCCCGTACGTACCCCCGCCCTGGACGCAGCCCCGCCCGCTCACAACCCCGCTTGCAACACCAGGTCTCGCCCTCCCGCTAGTTCCCGGGTCCCGGACCACCAGCCACGCCTTCAGGCACCTAGACCCGCCCCCGGAGATCCTGACCCTCCCCAGGGCACCTAGAATCGCCGCCTCCGGAGACACAACCTCACCCCCTCCTCCAGGAGACCCTGCTCTGCCCCAGACCCCGGCTCCGTTTCCAGAGGCGCACAGTCCGGTCCCCCAGGCACCTAGACCCTCCCCTGGAGGCCCAGAACACCCCCAAACACCAAGTCCGAACCGAATCCCCGCTGCAGCACGAATGCAGCCCTGTATTCAACTTAAGACCGGACTGGAGACCCCACTCACAGCCCACCCCGACCCCGCAGCCCCTCTGCTAGGCGGGGCACTCACGAGGGCATCTCCAGCGCGCGACGCGCCTCCTCTTTGGCCAAGGCCTCGGCCATCATGTACAGGTGTCCGGGCAGCAGAGTGAGGTTGGACGGGACACGGAGCTGAGGGGCGATCAGGGCAGCTGTGGGATGGGCAGCTGTGCCCATGTCACAGAAGGCAGAGTGTGGACAGAGCCAAGATGGGAACCTGGGTCTGGGGGCACCAGAGCTGCCCTACCCCTTCAAGGGCAAAGAGGTTTTGAGCGGAGGCAGGGAGAGAGACTTCAGTGATGGGGAGGAGGACAGAGCAGATGCTAGAATATAGTCTCACTCTACAGGCTGCAGGCGTCAGGTAGGAAACATGAGTAAAATAGCAATTAGGAACGTTGACTAAAATCCTGGTTTTTAAGTGATGGTAGCTGACTTTTAAATTAGCACTTCGTTGGCTAAACAAAACATGTTTATGGACTACATTCGGTTTGTAGAATGCCAGCTTGAGACCTGTTTGAGACTCTAGGGCAGTGGTCGGCAAACTGCGGCTCGCGAGCCACATGCGGCTCTTTGGCCCCTTGAGTGTGGCCACGAAGTTTCAATCGCACTGTACATACGCGCCCGTACGTGGTATTTTGTGGAAGAGCCACACTCAGGGGGCCGCAGTTTGCCGACCACTGCTCTGGGGGCTTATTTGGGGAGTGAGGCATGGAAAGGAAAAGAGGATTTCTGAGGAGGACTACTGGGGAATAGGAGAGAGGGGGGCAGGGGGACCACTCTGACCTCCACCACTGTCAGGATGAAGCCTTTCCACATCTCCCGAGACTCCAGGCTCTCCGCCTGGAGAGAAGGAAAGGAAACGTCCATGTTGATTAGGCTCAGTCTATCCATCTGTGAAATGGGAGTGAGGAACTGAACAGTTCATGTTTCCAAGGGCTGTTTTGAACATTAAATGAGTTAAGGCAGGTTCATTTAGGGTGATGTCTGAATATAAGTCCTTTAATGTGGATTGTTATTCTTGAATGTTATTATACCAACATTAAAAAAAGTAATTCAGATCATGTACCTCCTCATCCTTTAAACCCTCCCAGGCCTCCCACCCCCCTCAGGGTAGAAGCAAGTCCTCTCGGTGGCCCACAAGGCCCTGCATGACCTGCCCAGCCCCCTCCCAGCCTTCACCTCCTCCCTCCCTCCCTCCCTCCCCTCGTTCACTCTGTTTCAGCCATTGTTTCTCTGACACCCCAGGCAGAGTCCTGTCTGAGGACCTCTGCATTCACTTTCTCTTAGCACTTGTCTCTCTAGCATCCGCTGCCATCTGCCAGTCCGTATATTTTACACACTGATGTAGTTGATTGTGTGCCTCCACCACGAGACTGTGGACTCCACAGGGGCAGGGGTTTTTAACTGTCTGTTCACTGCTGTGCAACTACAGGAGGGTCTGGTACATAGCAGGTGCTCATTAATGTTCGTTGGCAGACTGACTGATGGCAGTGGTGGCCTTTGTGAATTGTATCTTGTTCTGGGTACTTTATACATATTATCCTATTTTGAAGTTGAGGAAACTGAGGCCCGGAGAGATCAAGTGACTTGCCCAGTATCACCACTCCAGCGTTAGACTCTGTGTGACTCCTTGCTGGTGTGTGTTAACGGGGGGTGTGATGGGGAAGCAGCTTCTCCCGCTAGCCCCACCCCCACCCCCCAAGAGACCTACCCTGAATTTGATCTCCTGGTTCCGGATGAAGAGGTTGAAATGTATACCAGGGTCAGGGGGGCTCCCCCGGGGAGCTTCATCTGTGACTTTCACAGAGGCGCCGAGGTCTATCTTCTCCACGTGCTGGGGGCACAGAAGCAGGCGTCTGAGCACCAGACCTGCGGTCCCTCAGGCCCCCTGGTTTGGCCACGCCACTCATACCCTCTGCTTGGTCCCTGGGGTCAAGGATGGGCCAGCTCTTGAGCCCTCATTCGCATCCTTACCTGGGAGTCCCTGTTGCTCTTGTAGAAATAGAGAGTGAGGCCCTGGAGGCCGGCCCAGAACTTCTTGTAATCCTGGGGAACAGAAGGGGAGAAAGAGAAGGATGTGAGTTGGCCAGCTGGGTACCTCCAACCCACCCGTTTCTGCCTCAGGACCTTTGCAGGGGCTGCTCTCTCTGCCTGGACACTCTGCCCCCGACCCTCACATGGTTTCCTTTGTTACCTGCTTTGGGTCTTTGAACACATGTTGCCTTCTTAGGGAGGCCCTCCTCTCTCATGGCCCAGCCTCTGGGGATCTGTTATTCTCTGGTAAATGACCAAAGGGACCTTGATAGGATGGGGGACCCAGAACAGTCCCTCAGCCTATGGAGGGGGCTGTTCTAGGAGTCAGTTCGCTAACTAGATTCATGATGATCCATCCACCCACCCACCCTTACATCTGCTGACCCATCTACCCATCCATCTAGCCACCCATACACACACATATATCTCCCTGGCCCCTTATCCACCCCACAAATCTTTATTGGCATCTCCTAGGTGCCAGTTCCTCAGGTAGGTGCTGAGTCCATAGTCGCAGAATTTCACAAGGTTCTGGACTCTAGGAGGTCTGCAGATTCAGGACCTCCCCCCCCCACCCCCCAACCCAGGATTCTGAACTCCAAATGCCCTAAGAAAACAGGGGGCCTGAGGGACCACAGGTCTGGTGCTCAGACATTCTCTGGATGTCTAAGGGGCTATACAGCTCCGACTGTAAGATTCTAGGGTCTTTTCACCAAACATTCCATGAGCAACTACTCCGCAGCAACCAGCGCTATTGCAGGCAAAACAATAAGTGGGACATGACTTCTGTTTCTAAATATATCATGTTCCAGTGCAGTGGTTCTCAACCGTCCTAATGCCGTGACCCTTTAACACAGCTCCTCATGTTGTGGTGACCCCCAACCATAAAATTATTTTCGTTGCTACTTCATAACTGTAATGTTGCTACTGTTATGAATCGTAATGTAAATATCTGATATGCAGGATGTATTTTCATGGTTACAAATTGAACATAATTAAAGCATAGTGATTCATCACAAAAACAATATGTAATTACATACGTGTTTTCCGATGGTCTTAGGCGACCCCTGTGAAAGGGTCGTTAGACCCCCAAAGGGGTCGCAACCCACAGGTTGAGAACCGCTGTTCCAGAAGATAGAGAAAGCACAGATACTGAGATCCTCCAGGAAGAAAGACTAGGGCCCTGGAGAGGGACAGCCCCTGGGCCAGGAAATCACAGAGGAGAAGAGGAGCCCTCCAACTGGAAAATCTGAGAAGGCTTCCTGAAGGAGGAATCGCTTTAGTCTGTAATGATAATGAAGATAGTGCTTCTATTGACAGTTATTATTCACTCAACCATCCATCCATCCATAGATACAGTCATACATTTAATGAACATCGACTGAAGGCCTACTCTGTGCCAGGCACTGTTCCAGGCACTTGGAATAAAGTTATAAGCGATTGAACTTCGTATAGTCAGACTTGCTTTGTCATGTACCAGCTGTGTGTCATTGGGCAAGTTATTTAAGCGCTCTGTGCCTCAGTTTCCCGACCTATGAAATGGTGATACTAATGGTATCCGCCTCAGAGGCTGTTGTGAAAACTGGGTGAATTCATGTAAAGAGCCAGTGCTCGTCCTGAGCCAAGTCCTTGGCCGGCCGAGGGCTGCCCCGTCCTGTAAATGTGTCCATGGCCCCATCCTCCCCGTTTTATTACAGCGGGAACTGAGGCACGAGGATGGAGCATCACTCGTAGGCCCGGGAGTCAGAACGGGGTGGAGCATGGATGTGAACCTGGGTCTCCCATGGGGCCCATGGTCTTTCTTAACCACGGTGATGGGTGACGGCCTCTTGGTGCTCTCTAGGCGGGAGGGAACTCGGGCTCATGGAGACACAAGAAGAGGGGAGGGAATGGCAGTGACAACATCAGGAAGGTGCCGGGAAAGCAGGGGTGGCTGGTTTGGGTTCTAGGAGAAGCTGAATAAATGTAGGGAGTGGGAACCAAGAGGCGGGGCTTTTTTCTGAGCAAGATACAAACACACACACACGCCCATGTACGTGCACATTGGCCCACAGTATCTGTCCTGCTGAACATGGCTGCCACCAGCTCTTACTGTCCCTACATACACCTGTCCTAACCCTGTCCCCACATACACCTGTCCTAACCCTGTCCCCACATACACCTGTCCTAACCCTGTCCCCACATACACCTGTCCTGACCCTGTCCCCACATACACCTGTCCTGACCCTGTCCCCGCATACACCTGTCCTGACCCTGTCCCCGCATACACCTGTCCTGACCCTGTCCCCGCATACACCTGTCCTGACCCTGTCCCCGCATACACCTGTCCTGACCCTGTCCCCGCATACACCTGTCCTAACCCTGTCCCCTGCAGCTGAGGTTCACAAAGTTCTGGGCTGGGGAAAGGGGAACCAATTAATTTAATTCCTCATTTCCTGAGGAAGTCCTGATCCTGTTTGTATCTGACAGAAACAGCGGCTGAGACCCAGAGACACAGACGGATACAGCCTGGGAGAGACAAAGGGAAAGAGAAAGAGATCAAATAAGAGTCAGAGAGACAGACAGACGGACAGATGGACACAACCCTTCCTAGCCGCCAGCCCCTGCCCTGCCCCTTCCAGCACGAACCCCGCCCTCCTTGGCCAGGTGGCAAGATCGGATCGAGGCTCAGAGAGGTGCCTCACTTGCCAGGCAGCCCAGCAGGGCCAGCCCCACCTTACCCTGTCACGGGGTCCCTTCTTCTCCAGGAAGCTCTCATGGTAGTGTGAGGGCAGGGCACACTTGGGCTTGGGGGCCCGGGGTGGGCCCAGGGCCGAGGCCATGGCAGGCTGGGCCTCTGGCCTGGCCTTCCCTCCAGCGCACAAGCGGGGCCAGGAAGCAGAGGAACAGGTTCCAAGGGAATTTCCTCTCTTCTGTCAGCTCCCGGGTTCCCTCCCCTGCCAGTGCTGGGCAGGGCGGGGCGGGCCTGGGCAGGTCCAATGATCCTAGGGAAATCCCGGACTCTCCGTCTCTCCCAGGGGTCAGAGAGCAGGGAGGCTGTGCTGGACTCAGGGACAGGGAGGAAGCCACGGGAGGGTTTCCGTGCGGAGCAGACAGGGTGACTGTGCACCAGGAGGAGGGACCTGCTTCAGCAAAGGCCTGGAAGTGAGGAAGGAAGGAAGGAGTGTGGTGCCCGGTTGGTTAGGGGATGTAACGAGGGAGTTCACAACGGGAACATAACCCGAAGGCCTGAAATGCCCCTTAGGCTGACTGGACCTTAGAAGGATCGTGCCTAGATCTAGCCCCAGATCTTGCTGGGTTTCTGACAGGAATTGCACTAAACTTGTACACCAGTTGGCGGAGACAAGGCATCTTTATTTTGGTGAGACTTCTAATCCATGGGCATGGTCTGCCTCTTCATTTATTTAAATCTTTGATTCTTTCATCACGTGTGTAGTTTTCAGCATACAAGTCCTGTACCTATTTACAGCCCCCCAAAAACCTTTATTTTTTGAGCCCTGTATTTTTTATTTTTGGTTAATCCTTTACCCATTTTTCCATTGATTTTTAGAGTGGAAGGGAGGGAGGAGGGAGGGAGAGAGAGAGAGAAGGCGAGAGAGAGAGAGAGAGAGAGAGAGAGAGAGAGAGAGAGAGAGAGAGAAAGAGACATCAATTGGTTGCCTCCTGCATGCGACCCAGTGGGGGCCAGGGATTGAACCTGCAACCCAGAAACATGCCCTTGACCAGAAATCGAACTTGCCACCCTTCAGGTGCACAGTTGATGCAGTAACCACTTAGCATTCTGGCCAGAGCACGATCCCTGTATTTTTTTTTTTTAAGAGAGAGAGGAACGAGGGAGAGAGAAAGAAAGATAGATCTATTGTTCCACTTACTTATGCATTCATTAGTTGATTCTTGTATGTGCCTTCACTGGGGATCAAACCCACAGCCTTGGTGTATTGGGACAATGTTCTAACCAACTGAGGTACTTGGCTAGGGCCTGTCCTTCGAATTTTTAATTCCAATTTTCACATATTCATTGCGAGTATACAGACATGCAGTTGATTTTTGTGTGTTGATCTTGTATCCTACAACCTTGCTGAACTGGCTCATTTATTAATTGAGAGGCATTTGTTGTAGAGTTCTCGGGATTTTGTACTTTGTATCATCATGTCATCTGCAAATTAGGCTAATTTTTATTTCTTTCTTTCTAACCTGTACTGCTTTTATTATGTTTTCTGCCTTATTGTACTGGCTAGAACTTTCAATACTATGTTGAAAAAAAATGGTGACAGTGGACATCTTTCCATTCTTTTTTTTTTAATTTTTAAAATTGATTTCAGAGAGGAAGGGAAAGATAGAAACATCAGTCATGAGAGGGAAATGAGAGGGAATCATTGATTGGCTGCCTTCTGCCTGACCCCTACTGGGGACTGAGCCTGCAACCCTGGCATGTGCCCTTGACCTGAATCGAACCTGGGATCCTTCAGGCTGCAGGCCGACGTTCTATCCACTGAGCCAAACCAGCCAGGGAGACATGTTTTTGTTCTTTTTTTGTTTGTTTGTTTTGTTTTGTTACTAAGTGAACATGAAGATAATGGATGCCTAGCACCTGCCCTAGTGATTTATTCAGACACTCAGTAAACATTCATTTTTTTCCCTCTTCCTTTCTCACCTTTTGTATTCACAATGCTCAGCACAGTGCCTGATGCGTAGTAGAAACTCAATAAACTTTGGTTGAATTTACAAACTTTGACGTTCACCGATGCTTTCCACATTCCAGGCACTGTTCTTTTTTTTTTTTTAATTTTTTTTATTGATTAAGTTATTACATGTTTTCATTCTTAAGAGGAAAGCATTTCGTCTTTAACCATTAAGTACAATGTTAATTGAAGTTTGTAGATGTTCTCCACTAAGTTGAGGTGGTCTCCCTTTGTCCTAGTTTGCTAAGAGTTTTTATTATAAGTTGGGGTAGAATTTTGTTAAGTGCTTTTTCTGCATCTGTTGCTATGATTGTGCAACTTTTCTTCTTCAGCCATTGCATTTGTTTCCTCTGGCTGCTGTGACAGTTTACAGCACACTTAGGGGCTTAAAACAACACAAATGTATTATCTCACATTTAATTGGAAATCCTACATGGATCTCCCGAAGCTAAAATCAAGGCATTGGCGGGGCTACATTCCTTGTTGGAGGCTGAAAGGATGAATGTTTCCCTTGCCTTTTCCAGCTTCCAGCCATTCCTTGGCTTATGTTCCCTTCTCCTCTACAAAGCCAGCAACGCAGGTAAAATCCTCACTTCGTCTGATCATTCCTAACTTCTTCCACTGTCTCCTCTCCCTGACTCTCTCTTCCACTTTTAAGGACCCTTGTGATTACAGTGGGAAAACTTCCCTATTTTAAAGTCAGCTGATCAACTGTAATTCCATCTGCAACCTCAAATTCCCTTTGCCATGTAACCTCACATATTCACAGATTCTAGGGACTGGGAGAGGGACATCTTTAGGGAACCATTATTCTGACCACCACAGCCTGTTAAAGATGATGGATAACATTTATTTTTGAATACTGAACCTACCTTGCTTCCCTGGAATAACCACCACATGGACATGGTGCATGATTCTTTTTACATGTTGCTGAATTCTATTTCCTAATACTTTGCTAAGGATTTTCCTGTCCCTGTTCATGAAGGGTATGGTCTGTAGTGTTCTGTCTCTGGGCCATCCTTACCTGGTTTTGGTATCCTGGTAATGATGAATTGGGAAGTGAAGTGTTCCCTCCTTCAGTTTTCTGGAAGAGGTCATATAAAAGTGGTATTGATTCTTCTTTGAACCTTTGGTAGAAAAATTACCTGGACCCGGAGATTTAAAAAGAATTTTTTTATTGATTTTGAGAGAGAGAGAGAGACATTGATTTGTTGTTCCACTTATTATTTTTTTTTTAATATTTTATTGATTTTCTACAGAGAGGAAGAGAGAGAGATAGAGAGTCAGAAACATTGATGGAAGAGAAACATCGATCAGCCGCCTCCTGCACATCCCCCACTGGGGTTGTGCCCGCAACCCAGGTACATGCCCTTGACCGGAATCGAACCCGGGACCCTTCAGTCCGCAGGCCGACGTTCTATCCACCGAGCCAAACCGATCTTGGCATGTTCCACTTATTTATGCTTTCACCAGTTGCTTCTTGTATGTGTCCTGACCGGGGATTGAACCTGCAACCTTGGCACATTGGAATGAAGCTCTAACCAACTTAGCAACCTGGCCAGGGCTGGAAATTTCTTTTTTGAGTGTTTTAAAATTGCACACTCAGTGTCCTTAATAGTTATAGGGTGAGGCTGCTTGGACTTTGTACACATAGCAAAGAATAGCCTTTGGAATCCACTGGAGAGCTCTGTGACCCTGGGCCATTGATTCATCTTGAATTGTCTCATGAAGTTGATAACGAGACTGCCAAAAAGGGGTGCCATACGTGGTTAATAAAGTCGTAGCAGTTAGTTTTAATTTTATTTATCAAAGGCCATGGGGAGTCACTGAAGGATTTAGAGGTGGGAAGGGAGGTGACCATAGTTTCATTTTAGAAAGCTCCCTCTGAGGCCAGGGTGGAAAATGGACAGTATTGGGGGTTAGTATGGAGGCCTGAGGCCCAAGGTGATAGCAGTGGGTCCTAGGTTTTGGAAGATAGTTGAAGGGAAAGTGTGCAAGGACACGGAGGAGTAGACTGAAGCTAGACTTTAGGGAGCAGGGCGATGATTCGTGACTGGACCCGCGGTGGGGGTTTGGGGGGACTCCAAAAGGAGGCTTGGGCTGGACAAAAAGAGAAAAATAATAATTCACATTTATCCCGCTCTTACTATCTGTCAAGCCCTGATCCTTTTTTTTTTTTTTTTTTAATATATTTTATTGATTTTTCACAGAGAGGAAGGGAGAGGGATAGAGAGCTAGAAACATCGATCAGCTGCCTCCTGCACACCCCCCACTGGGGATGTGCTGGCAACCAAGGTACATGCCCTTGACTGGAATCGAACCTGGGACCCTTCAGTCCTCAGGCGGACGCTCTATCCACTGAGCCAAACCGGTTAGGGCTCAAGCCCTGAACCTTAAACCTGGAAGTGGAATTATTATCCCCACGGGGACGCAGAGAGTGGAGCCACTTGGCCAAAGTCACAGAAGTGCGCAGTGGTAGCAGGATTTGAGTCACGTCCAGTCTTGATTCCACACCACCCTGGCTGAACACCCCCTACCCCGCCCCCAATTTCCTCTCCCCTCTTCCAGACTGGGGTCCGGGTAAACCCAATGGGGGGATCCCCAACCCCGGGTTTTTAGCCCTGCCAAGGGCTGGGAAGATTGGGAGCCCGAGATCTGGCGCTGGGAGGTGGCGCTGCGCTTTGGAGCGAAGGGACCCGGGACAAAGGACAGGACCGCAGCCACCCCTGCCCGGCTCCGCCCACGGGTCCGCCTGCGCGGAGGGTGCCCCGCCCCCCCTCCCCAAGGTGCAGTTTTTTCGATCCCGGAGCTGATTGGCTGGCTGAGTACCCAACCTACAACTGGTTGGATAACTGAGGCTGAGGATCCTGGAAATTGGCCGAGAGCGACGGCTGCCCATTGGCTCAATCGGAGTTGGGCGGACGCAGAGGTTTAACACTGATTGGCTAGAGTAGGTCACACACCTACTGCTTATTGGTTGGAGATAATTGGCGTCCTCCACTCTGTTCCAATACGAGGGCCCACCCGAAAAATGGAAATTAACCCGTTGGACTCAAGAGATGGCCGCGGGCGAGCTTGACCCGCGGCGCAGGGCCGCTCCCGCACTCGGGCCGCAGCCTCGGGGCTGCAGTTTCCCTCCTGGTCCCAGGGCCGGGGCCTCTGCGTCCCCTCCGTCCTGGCGGCTGCCCTCCCCGCGCCCCAGTCCCGGCCTCCGTCCTAAGGAGGCGGCTCGGCTGGAGCACTAATCCC